CACAACATCACCAGGCAGCCTCATCCGCCTGCTTCTTGTCAACCACCACCACCTCTCCGTCCCCCTCACCCTCCCCATCATCAGCTCCTACCACGACCCCCATCCTACGTTCCTTCCTCCCCATCTCTCCCTCCTCCCTCTCACCCACCATCACCTCAATGAAAGCCACCACCTGCTGCCTCGACCCCCTCCCCACCAACTTACTGGTCAACCAGCTCCCCCTCCTCTGCCCACTACTGGCTGATGTCATCAACCAGTCCCTCTCCTCCGGATCAGCCCCTGCCCCCCTCAAAACTGCTGTCATCACCCCCGTCCTCAAAAAAACTTCTCTCGATCCCTCAAACCCAGCCACTACCATCCTATTTCAAACCTGCCCTTCCTCGCAAAAGTCCTAGAACGCGTTGTTGCAAATCAACTCTGCGCACACCTCTCCTCCCACTCCCTCTTTGAACCCCTCCAATCCAGTTTCCACCCTGCCCACAGTATAGAGACTGCACTTGTGAAAGTCACAAATGACATCCTCTCTACCTGTGACCAGGGCTCCCTCAGCCTCCTGTCCGCCGCATTCGACACAGTCGATCACGCCATCCTCCTCCACTGCCTTTCCTCCGTCATCCACCTCAGTGGGACCGTACTCCCCTGGTTCGAGTCCTACCTCACAAACCACCAGCAGAACATCTGCACAAACGGCTTCTCCTCCCGCTCTCACCCAGTTACCTGCGGAGTACCCCAAGGATCCATCCTTGGCCCCTCCTCTTTCTGATCTACATGCTCCCTCTTGCGGACATCATCCGTAGACATGGGGTACACTTCCACATATATGCGGATGACACCCAACTCTATTTTTCCACCTCTCTTTGCGACCCCCCCAACCCCCAGTCCCCTGATGTTCTGTCAGCCTGCCTGTCAGACCTCAGGAGCTAGACGAGCGCAAATTTCCTTCAGCTGAACATTGACAAGACGGAAGCCATCCTCTTTTGGCTCTCGTCAACATCTAAAATCACATGGTTCTCATCTCCTCCACCTACCCGACCTCCCACTAAAACTCTCCGAACCCATACGCAACCTAGGCGTCAGGTTCGACCCCCAATTATCCTTCCTCCCCCACATTCGGTCCCTCACTAGTACCGCTTTCTTCCATCTCCGACAAATTGCCAGTCTCTGACAATATCTCACTCCATAAGCCGTTGAAACCCTGATCCATGCCTTTGTCACCTCTCGGCTGGACTATTCAAATGCCCACCTTGCCGGTCTCCCCTCCACTACCATCCTTAAAATCCAGGTCATACAAAACTCTGCCGCCTGCATTCTTACCCGCATCAAACTCCGCTACCCGATTACCCCAGTCCTTGCCAGACTGCACTGGCTGCCTGTCCTAGAGAGGATCGACTTCAAGGATCAACTTCAAGACCTCACCTTTGACTTCAAATCCCTCCACTCCTCTGCACCCCCCCTACCTCTCTGACCTCCCTCTCCTCAAAATAGTGCCCGTTGCCTTCGTTCCATTGGGTCTGGCCTCCTCCTCGTCCCCCGAATCCTCCGCTCCACCCTCGTCGGCCGTGCCTTCAGCCACTATGCCCCGAGGCTCTGGAACTACCTTCCTCACTCCCTTCGCCTCGCCCCTTCTCTTCCTTTTTTCAGGTTTCGGCTGAAGACCTTTCTTTTCGACCGTGCCTTTGGTCACCTTCCTCCCTCTCCCCCTGGCTCGGCCCTGGGATCCGTTACTATGAAGTGCTCTGAGACGCCGTCCGGCGTGGAGGGAGCTATACAAATCCAAATTATTGTTGTTGTCCCCCTTCTACCATCCTGGTAGTTGCATGCTGAAACAATTGAGATGTTGATAGCAATTAATTCTGTATGGATTAGTCTACCATCACAGTTGAAAGTTTTGGGAACCTTAGATCCAAAGTTGCCTAGTTCTTCCAAGCTTACCACAATTCCAAGCGTACTACATTGTTCTCCAAGTAGACCGTTACCTTATCAACAAACTTTTGGAGGTTTGAACGTGCAACCTAATGATTCTAAGTCCAGCTTTGCAAATCTTGATTGGCTTCTTTTCAAAAAGAAAGGAAGAATATAATTGTTGCTGTATTTCAACTCAGAACAAATCCAGCTAGAATTACATCTCTGGCTAAGAAAAAGTTCCCCTAAAAAATTCATAACCTATTTTTAGCAATTCAGTACTGAGGAAAACATACAAGAAGCTAACAACATTTTATTTTGACAAATGGCCTTATATTGTGCATATTGTGTACAAAATGTAAAGAGGCAAATAACTGGTATGACAGAATGTGTAAATAATTTAAAATAGCAAAGCAGCGGGATATTAATATAGGTTTACACAGTGATTCCACACACAGTTATTTATACCAGACACAGTAGAGTATCACTGCAGCTGACCTTTGGGGGGGTTGGGGGGGGGTCACCCTCACATATACTTTTGTCTTGTCAAGGAAGTGACTTTGTACTCCATTTATTTTAATTGTAGTGTTGCACAGCTGGCAGCATGTGGAGCCAAATATCAGTTGTGTATGATGCAGAACAACTGTTCACTGTGATATGGGAGAGATCCATCAGTACAAAGGGGATAATCTGGTTACCTTCATATGAGATGGGTGTGGTTTATACTGATTCGGAAAAGATGATCAGTTTGTAATTCAGCAAGTTCTGACCCAGATCTGACTTCAGAAAAGCACCAGTAAACTGTGTAAAAAATGCAACATAAAATCCAGTGGCAATGCCTTTCAGCAAAGTATAAATAGTAAGTAAGTCAAAGTGACAGTTCAGACACTCACAGTATATTCAACCAACCAAATTATGTATATATAGGAACAGGAGTAGGCCGTTTAGCTCCTCGAGCCTGCTCCACAAATCTATAAGATCATGGCTGAAGGCATCAAGGTTGCTGAGAGCACAGATGGTGCCCAGATCTCCGTTTTGTCAATTCACATCATTCCAAAACAAACGTTATAACAAATTTATTCTGTGAATCACTTTGAGATGTCTCAAGAATGTGATGAGATGCTATATCAGATGTAAGCTTTACTAGTATAATGATAAATGGAAACTCATAGGTTAACAGTCAGATACACCAATTAAATCATACTCAAGAAAGAAAGAGTGAGAGTTCAGTAATCACCAGTATTGATCATGGCTGTTACTTGTTCTCAAAAGATGAAAGCATTTACATTGTGACCAAGAGTTGAGACATACAGGCAACTGTATTTTGATTTTGAGATTATAAACAGCATTGTTACATCTAAAGCTGCATCCTTCTCCACCCCAGATATTATTCTTTTCTTGTCATAATCTCTGGCTTCATTGTTTGATATCAGGTATAAGTGGCAAAAGGCAAAATACTACAGCTGCTGGAAATCTGAAATAAAAACAGAAGTCGCTGGGAACACACAGCAGGTCAGGCAGTATCTATAGAGAGAGAAGAAAGTGAATTAACATTTCAGGTCGACGATCTTTCGTCAGAACTAAAGGGACACTTGCCCTACAACAACAACAACAACTTGCATTTATATAGTAGTGCCATTTCATGTCAGGAGGACATCCCAAGGCGCTGGACAGTCGAGGGATTGCACTCGAACTGCGGAGTAGGATTTGAGAGGGGTGATGTGGGAAGATGACCGAAGGCATGGTCAAAGAAGAAGGTCCTGCGATAGACCTTGAAGGAGACCAAGGGGTGAGGCAGAGGACCACTGCGATGGAATTCCAGAAAGTAGGGGGCAGAAAGGCTGACGGCCCAACCACCAATGGTGGGGCAGGCAGGAGTTGAAGGGATGTGAGTGAATGGCTCAAGTGAAAGATATTATTATGCTTAGGGTTAGGGTTCCACAGAGAACCCCGACAAATAAAGTTGTTTTAAGGTAAGCAAAGCTCTAAAAATAACATTAAAAACTTGGGTAGTAATCCTCTTCATATAAGTAATGAGTAACAGTACTTTTGCCTGCAAAATATAATTACACATTTTACAGTATACAATATTTTGGGAAGCGCTTTAAGACACACTTTCAATATGAAAAGTGCGATAATTGTTACAATTATTATTGTTACTATTTGATTCTAGAGTTAATTTCACCTTAAAACAATACAACTACTGCAGTATGACATTCTGGAAATTAAATATGTGCAAAATTAGATGGAGCTCTTCAAGAATTAAAGTAGTATTATAAAACCATTAATTATGATGATTAATGAATGGTTAATTATTAACCATTTAATTAATGGTTAATTAATTAGTTAAGGGGGCAAAATATAGGACGGGGCAGCGCAAAACCTGGGCCTTTGTTTCAAATCAGGGCCAGACTAATGGTATAAAATTCTTCTCTTTCTGATATTTCCAATGAATCAAAGTCAAATGAGTTTTGACAACCCCATCCAAGGTATCAGTGAGCCACAGCATAAACTGTCCATTGTTAGACATGAATTGATACTGGATTAGCAATCTCATTCAGAGCAAACTTAAATTGGGAAAAAGAAAAACTCAAGGTCTGCTCTTCTGAGGTTGGAGTACATTAGGGTTAATCTTATGCTGATCATTAACAACAGCAATCTATTTGTTCTTCTTTATATTGGGATTTCTTATGATAAAGATTTACCAAATATATTCTCTATTTGCATGAAAATCACCATTGATGGGTAAAGGGAGCTTCACTCTAGTGAAGATCTTAATGCTTAAATTAAACTTAAAAAGGTTAGAAAATATTCCCCATTCCACCAGCACCAGCAGCACCAGCTTTCCAAAACCCTTACCCACAATTAAATGAAAAACCAACATTCAAAAAATAATTTCACAATGCTCAAGTGAATATTTAATGCATATTGACTACTTCTATTACAGCATCACAAACATGTAGATTTACAGTATTTTCACGTGCACCGTATTAGACCATGTTAACTGTAGGAGTTAAAACCCTTTGTTGCCATCCTGTTTTCCAGGGGTGGGTATGGCAACTCACTCACCTGCTGACTCAACAGTTTCCACTTCCTTGTTTTTTCTTACTTGGCTCACGGCAAACTCTGAAGAGAAATTCTGCATGTCTGTGGCTTCTGGTTCAATGGAATCTCTGTCCGTATTTAAACCTTTACAAAAACAAGATATACGTTAGTGTGTGCCCAGTACATTCCAGCATTAAAGGATTGCGAATGTTAAACAGGAAACTCCCAGGTTCAGTCTGCTGACTTAACTGATCCCATTGGGCAATAGTGGAACATTACAATTAGCCTCAGAACCTTTGGGCCACGGAGGTTTCATGGGAAATCAATCGCTTCTACATAGTATTTCCCCAGAAAGCAGGAGTATGTAGATGTTATGGAAGGAAATAATCAGGTTTCCTTGTCATATTCCTCACAATTGAACACTTTTAAACTCACTATCTAGGCTCACACATGAGGCTACTGGAATGAGACTTAGAGGCAACCAATGCTAGCAGAAGCACACATAATAATAATAACAATAATATAAGGTGAAATAGGAGTTAATTAGTGAAAAACACCTGGAATCACCATAAATTTCTGAAGACATTTTCATTTTCTCTTAACTGCTCTACGAAACAGAAAGTTCAGTAAAGTTTTTTGATATTTGGCCACAGTGAAATCTGGCCAAATATCAAAAAACAATTATATTTATATATTTAACACCTGCCAACTATGAACTTGCTAAACCTGGAGGACTCCATCTTAAACTATTTGAAGAAAGGATTTCTAAGTAAATAATCAGCAATTTTATTTCCTAATAATTAATTCTAAACTCTAAATGCAAATCAGTATAAGGAAAAAAGTATTTGGAAGCTGTTTCTCTAATTACCTCTATTCCACACAGGTTTCATACATTAGGAGTTTTCATACTTTGGGCAAGGTCAATATCTTTGCAATAGGAATATACAGGACCGGAAAAACAGAAAAGACCGTCAAGGTCATCTGTATGGTTAAATATGTGGTTAAATACATACAAAAATAAAACAAGAAGGTTTCTTAATGGCTCACTGGGTAAATGGATGCCTTGAACTGCACACACTAGAAAGGTCCCAAGTTCTTTCTCTCTCTGGTTTGCACCGAGTTAACTGAGCTGGGCAGCAGGTGGCGATAATATAATTGGCTTTGGTGCCTCCGGGTTAGGGAGCAGAAAAAATAGGATAGAGCCTCTATGTTTACATTCTATCAAACATAACTATGCCCCAACACTTGTTAATACCGTAACCTTGATACCAAATTAATTGAAAGCAACAGATCATTCCCAGTTAATGGTTCTCAAAGTTATCTCTAGTTGATTTCAATTTTCTCTGCTCTTTCTAAGAATAGTGCACCTGAAATTTTACCAAGGGCCAAACAAATTTTTTGTCAATTCTTGCATCGCTTCTTCCGCTGTCACACGGCTGGATACTTTAACAACAACATTTTCCAGGATAACAGTAACACCTGAAATAAATCCTTTGACTGCTAGACAACACATACACATATTTTCTTAGTGAATATCTCCATGCTCTCATAATAATAATTCTTGCATTTGATCTAGTTATTACACCCTTATTACATCCTCTCACTTGCGAGGCGAGTGCTTTAACCAATTTGCTGTAGAACTCTACATTTCTCAAAATAACAGGTAAGCACAATAATAGCCCTTGGAACTAGAAGGTTCCTGGTTCAAACCCCAGTGGGTCCATTCAGCTATTCACCTGATTGCGATCAATAAATGAGAAGTATGTCTAAAAATATCCTCCTAAGAGGAGAGGCAAACAGAAATCTCTCGAGCTAAATTGGCTCTAAATCTCAGCAATCTAAGGTAGATTTAGAAAGTGAAACTATGCAAGTTTTTATGATTAACTGGAAGGAAGAGAAAAATATTTTTTCTCTAGATTGTAAATATTTTGCATCATCATACATGCACTGAATGTGGCAGACCTCCTGGGAAATGTAGTTAATAAAAAAATTTTCAAATGGTAGAAATATAAGCAGACATATTTTTTGCAATTTTCTCCCCTCTTCTGAAAATGTGGAAGTCAACTCATTTCAAATGTAAAGCCAAGTCCAATCCTATTGTCGCCTAATGCTCATGCATATTCACTTTCCAGCAGGAATACCAAGGAATATTAGTTTAGTAACCAAAGGAATACCAAAGGAATACCAGGAGTAGAAACCTACCTTATTTGTGCCCTCTTTAGCTCAGGGCATTGAAGCCAATTATAGTGCCCTGCTTCCCTGGTTAAAATGAACAAACTTGGCACAAGAATGGTCTGAATTATTCATTTTCACACCGAGTAGTGGCTTTACCAACCTTGTCATAGGGAAGGCTTAAAAAAAGGTTTGAGTATGCATAACCCAGCTCTTCACGTTGAGGGACATTGTTTTGGACTGAGAATCAGATGACAGAATAAGAGTGAGTCTCTTTGATTTCCTTGTTGTTTGTAAACACCGTGTACTGCACAAACTCTGAGCATGTTAAACTGGACAGGCAGCTTTGAATTCTAACCCGATAGATTGACATCTGGTGAGGTTTCCATTCTAGTTTCTGTCAGATTTCTTTCTCCAGACATCTCTTTTTTCATACCTCCCGATGGATCCAAAGTAATTGCGAGACCATCAGGAACAATCTTTGGCACCTCCTGATGTGCTGGTACTGGAACTGAATGCGTCAAAGTAACAAGGTTTAGTTTTGTGTAAAGAAACATTGTTAAAACATGTCAAATTACATATACAATGTTTGTTTTGAGCTCAAGACCCAAGGTGGAGCCTGAATCCGCAACCCTCTGATCAAGAAACAAAAGTGCTACCAACTTTTACTAGCTGTCAGTGGAAGGCTTCATCTGTGCCACTGTATCTAAAATCGAAACGGTGTTACTTCTTGGAAATGGCTTGAGAATCTGCAGCAATCAGATACTATTCCTATTACAGTATTTGGCATGAATGCCCATCTCTCTCTATAGCATTGATTACTGTATTCTCTCAGATCTGTCCTAGAAACAACCAGGCCAGAAATATGCATTCATGTGCAATTTTGTTCACGTTTTCACCTTCTGGCTCCTAAATATTCCGAATTTAGCGATGTGAGCAGTTAAAACAGTAGGATTGTTTAGTCAGAAAAGTGGAATATAAATCCAGGACATTTATTCCATGACTTTAGCTTTAAGTTTTCTCATGTAGATTTCTGGCTGTGAGCTTTGCCTGGTGGGGGTGTGAGGAGGTGATCCCACACCTGAGAGTTGAGGTCTATGATGAGGCAGCTGTCAGTTTGCTGACAAAACAGATATGTTTTGTCGGGGGGATTGATTGTTACCCTCCGCAGAGGCCACATGCCGCATCATGCTGCCTTTAACATTACAGAACTGCAGGGACAGATAGCCAAGAGCTCTCTTCTAAATGCAGCTGCTGCTTTTACATTAAGCCACCTTGTTCCCATTCCCAGTTTCATCACTATTATTTTAGATAGTAGCAATCAGGAAAACAAGGCTCTAAAAAAAACAATGACATAGGTTTCGTGCATTGCGACCTTTTGCTCTGGCATTGTCTCTTTCCCTGCCAGCAATGGAGCTCCTTGTGGAAGCAACAGGAAATTCAACTCTTATTGGACTTTTAGTGTCAGGACATTTGGCAGCTGATAAGGACAATTTCAAGCATGGGATCATTTACAATCTGAAAACTATGTGGACATGGTAAATGTTAGCTACACCTTGATTCTAAGCTGGGCTTTTAGTATCCAAATGTCTCCATAACATCAAAGGGGTGTTTCTGTATTTAAGACTGAGCCCTTTCTTCCAGCTGTGTGGACACAGAACTGGGTTGAAGGGGAATCACTCACAGGCAGCACTCACAACACAGTACCAACCACAAGAACTTTTAATTCTTCTAATCTTTTTGGAGATTTGAGAAAGGTTATTACAAAGTCTGTTGTTATTACAAAGGTCACCCCCTTTCCCCTCCCTTCTTCCCCCCTGACTCCAGCTCGGGTCTGAAATGCTGTACACTGTCCAGCACCTTGGGAAGTCCTCCCAACGTGAAAGGTGCTATACAAATTTAATCTTGTTGTTGTTATTCCATCAGCACTGAGTAAATGTACATAGCTATGATTGTTTGGTTAAATAATTCTGCTTCTGATACAATGTTACTTTGTTACTAAACTAATATTTGCTACTTACTGAAAGCGATGTCTTTGAAGGCTGACATGAAATTATATTAAATTATTAAAAGTTATGTTGTTTCCCTAAGCGGGAAGATTGTGTCATTGGAGAGAAGATGCACTTAATAATAATAATAATCCTTGCATTTGATATAGCGCCTTTCACGTCTTCTAGACATCCCAAAGCGCTTCACAGAATATACAGTAAAGTGAATTGACTGTATATTTGTGGGCAAATGCGGCAGCCAATTGCGCACAGCAATGTCGCACAAACAGTCATGGATTGAAAATGACCAATTTATTATTGTTTTTGTTTTGGAGGGATTATTATTAGGCGTGTGGAGTAAGGAAACTTGCCCAAGGTTTTGCCCTGCCTGGAACTGAACTCGGGTCTCTCACTTGCAAAGCGAGTGCTCTAACCACTGAGCTACAGGACTCCACGAGGATTTTGGCAGTCTGTGGTGTGAGATAGTGGCAGAGCCAGGCGATGTTAATAATAATAATAACCCTTGCATTTGTATAGCGCTTTTCACGTCGGGAGGACGTCCCAAAGCGCTTCGCAGAACACATTGTAAAGTGAATTGACTGTATATTTGTGGGCGAACGAGGCAACCAATTGGGCACAGCAATGTCCCACAAACAGTCATATGGATTGAAAATGACCAATTTTTTTTATTATTGTTTTTGGTTTTGGAGGGATTATTATTAGGCGTGTGGAGTAAGGAAACTTGCCCAAGGTTTCGCCCTGTCTGGAATTGAACTCAGGTCTCTCACTTGCAAAGCGAGTGCTCTAACCACTAAGCTATAGGACTCCACTATTTGTGGTGGAAAAGTACAATAAAATGTTAACAATGCATTTTAATGTTTAAGAACTTGATATTTCTACATATAAGAACCTTTTAGTACGTAGTCACAAAAACGCCATCATATTTGTTTACCTTTAATGAATTTACAAATAAAAAATATTTGTGAAGACATTCTTAGGGAGATACTGCATCAATCATTGTATCATTATATGACTGACCAAGGCCATGAATCCCCTGAAATTTTTTTAAAAATTGCAGATTATGTTCTTATTGGAACAACTGGTTGACATGTATTTAGTTGTCCTCTTGCAGTAATGCATCAATGGTGGAAAATGGCATGAGGTGTAAGATTGTTGAAGGGATCAGTAAAAAAAACTCTCTGATAATTTCAGTGAAAGTGCCTTAAAAAACACTGCTGTCAAGGCTTCACTGCCTTTAAACAAGGCCCAGAAATGTAGCAAGAGTTTGGATAGAAAGTCTTGACTCAGATGTCGCAATGACCGCTGGTGATTGGTATCTGCTCATGACTGCTAACAATTCAAGAGCAGATTAATGGACAGCCATCAGGACAGAGAAACTCTCCCACAGAATACCTTAATCGATGACCCATCTTCAGGCAAGGCTGCAATCAGAAAGATCTCAATAAATAGAAGGGAAAAAAATGACTGTAAAGATTTTTAAAAATATTTTACTTTGGTCACAGTTGTGGTTGTTATATTTATTTTATTTTAGTTGGTTAGGGTTATACTTGAAATGTGTAGTTTTAAGCTGTGAGCTTAAAATGACCAGAAGCAGTCAACCCACAAAGCAGCTATCTCTTTGAACAATGGCACTCACTGAGCTTTATCTAGTCGGGCACACTATTGATTTGTTTACTTTGATTATTAAAATTATCACAAAAATAACGATAAGTCACAAATGGATAAATATTTTTGATTATGTTGACCAAAGTGGAGCAAAACAAATGATTGCCATCGTATCTGAGCCAGTTACATTTTTGTTTCTGCCTCCAGTACCTATTCCTTTTCGCCCTCATCTTCAGCAACAGGCTCTGGGACACTGTTTAACTTCATCTCCAGTTTGTACAACTGCTGCAGCTCGTCATGGAGTTCACTCTCCAACTCTCGGTTATCTTTCAAAAATTCTTTGAATCTTCTCAAACAGTTTAAATCCTTCAAAAGAGAAAGATAATTTAAAGATGATTTATAATGATAAAATAATAATCCTTGCATTTGATATACTACCTGACCACATTGTTGAGACGTCTCAAAGTATGTCACAATATACTGTAAAATTAATTGACTGTACATGTTCTGAGCGAAATGCAGCAATCAATTGCGCACAGCAACTGTAATTGTGATTATAATTATAAGGGAGTGTATATCATTTGCTAAAAGGCATGAAAACAGGAAAGGTGATGAATAGCACTCCCTGGCACCTTATTAAATTGAGCACTGCCAAGCACCCACCCTTCTAGCTGCTGGCACTAAACTAAGCAGATTAAAAAAAAGTTGAAAATGATTTAAAATACATAGGGAATACCAATCCAAATACCCTTGGAAAAAAATAAGATTCGAAAAGAAACTTTTGTATTAAGTTAAGAATATTTTTTGTAGATCTGAGCTTATCTGCTCTGCAACCTGTAGTTTAAAAAAATATATTTTCTAACAATAGCAACAACCTTGCTGGGCAGCTTCTTTACAACAGGGAGTGTGCAAATGCTGTTGTACCTGTTCCTGTAATTCCTTTTGTTCTTCTAGTATGAAACACAGTTCCTGCAGTTTTTCTCTAACTAGTCTCAGTTCAACATTGTGGATCTCCTCAGCATTCAGCTCTTCATCCGACGCATGGGCATCATCAACCATATCCATTCCTGATATTTGAACTTTCCAGCTGGATGATATAATCTATTGGTCCAACAACACAGGAAGACTATGTTTAGTCACATTACTGAAACATGCTCCAATAAAGTATTGTAATTAACCCTTAATATTAGTTATTAACACACTACAGTCAACTCTCTTGTATCACTTTAGCACAGGAAGTTTCTGAAAGCAGCCAGTCTATCTGTTCTCTCTGCAGAAATTATCGTTGGAGTGGATTGATTTAGATCAGGTAAGAAATCAAGTATTTGATTGTGTAGATGTCAAATTAGGACAGCATGTGATTGAGCTCTGATGCCTTCCACCTATGGTTGAATATGTTGCCAGTCACTGTCTAAGATCACACTTAAACAATTGCCACTAACATGCATAGGCACAACATTTCACCTAATCTTAGCCATTAAGACCATTTTTTCTTAAAATTGATAATCATAAGAAATTGTGATAAATTTTGTACTGCAGTCTTAATTTAGTGGCCAGTTACTTTTAAGAACTACCAAAACCAGATGCCTTAAACTTTAAGAATTTAGTCTACTTCAGTCTAAAAATGTTTTAAATTTAAGAATTTAGTTTTAAAGGATTTTAAGCCTTAAGTACCTATCTCAGAGGCAGGAAAACTACAGAAAAAGAGACTATATTTGTGAGAATTCAGAACAGAATATTATCATAATAATAATCCTTGCATTTGATATAGTGCCTTATTGAGACGTCTCAAAGTGCTTCACAGAATATACTGTAAAGTGAATTGACTGTATATATTTTATGGGCGAAATAATATTGTATTATTAATGGTATAGTAGTGAAAGATTGTTGCATACATACACAAGTCCATATCAGCAAAGACTTCATATAACACAACAATAACGTGAGAACATGTATTTGTGAGCTTGGCATTAGTGTCATAAAACCCACAGTGTACACGTGACTCAGAGCTCATTATTACCTCCAGAACTGAAAGGGCAGCCCAGTCATGGGGGGCAAATAATCCAAAGCCAAAATGGTAGGATGGTCCTAGCTGGACAAGCAGTGGGAAAGCTTGCCAGATAGTGGTTTTAGCTGGTTAGACTCCAGCGACCACTCTGAGTCCCCAAGCCTTGGCTCCTGCCAACGTGCACCTAATACTTTCCAGGATTAGGCAAGCAGGATGAGGGAGAGATCCAGGGAGAGAGTGCACATTCCATTCCAACAATCTGTCTCCGCAATTTCCATGTGTGGGAGGGATGCATAGAATTCTGTTTGGTTTGGATTCTCTTAAGCATGGTGATGGGTTTCGGGATGTGTCGGATACCGAGCTGACCAAAAAAAAAAGTTTGTTTCTATGATCTGTAGCTTTTATAAAAACGATGTCCCAAATGTCTAAAGTGAAAATAGTTCTGAGGCGAAGAAATCAATACCTGTTATGAAGGCATCAATTAAATATCTGTTTTAAGGAGGAGACATTCCAAGATAGTACAAATTCATCACAAAATATTTATCTTATAAGCAGTTACCTTTTGTATTATTTTGCTTGTTGTTTTTGTTTCAGCAACGTGTTGAAATTCCTGTAGAAGGTCAAGAATTTTCTGCACGCTGTTATCTAACCATTCGACAGACACACTCATTTCAGTGGAATGCATCAACTCATTACGACATTTAATTACCTGAAAGCAAGCATGACCGTGGCTCAGTATAGATCCAACATTCATCATATTTATACTTGACAGAAAATACCAACTACTGTAAACAAAACATTTTCTATTAAGACAGTCATTTTATGCTGGATCTAAAATTGGGTGATTAGTTCATTTGAAGCCTTGGATAGGTCGTAAGGGAACGGGCTGATAAGTGGAATGTTATTCAGTGTAGAAAAATGCATAGAAAGAATACTGTATGAACTTACTGTAGGTGGTTGGAAGATAATTTTTATATAGAGTTGCTGGAACGTGAAATACTTTATCACAAATAGATGAAAGTGGATGCGTAGCATTACTTAAAAGGGATAGATAATTAGAGGAAATATAATATTAAAGGATGTGAGAAAAGTGTAAAGGAATTAGTTTAGGCTAGATAGCTCCAGCGGAGTAGTTAGAACCAGGAACATTATACAATGGGCTGATAGTTTCCTTCTGTGCCTTAAATTTTAATGATTCTATGGTCACAAGTAATTCAAAGAAAAAAGAAAAAATGAATCCGAAAGGTAAAACATTAACTACAGTTTTCTTTCTTACCCATACTTTGCAATGTGTTTACTACCTCAATTAGTTTTCGACGTTCAACAAAGCTGAAGTGATCGCAGAAATTAATGAGATTTAAAAGAGCTGCAACATCACAATTTTCTGGTCCTTGTTTATTCATCTGCCCACGAGGCATATAGACCTACAGAAAACAAACCGGTTTTCATCATATCATTTTGCACCAACAAAAGATAATAAAAAAGAAATTGACGTACACACATTTACTAAAAGGCTTGTGCTTTAAAATCTCTTGAGGTGTTCAATAGCAAGTCTTGATGTAACTCCATGTGATCTCAGATGCTTCCCAAATTTGATTACTTTGATCAAAATTTCTATTAATGTGACAGAAAACAAAACTTACCACTTTGCAATATCTAAGCAATCAGCTTATTTCTAGAAAAGTTTTAGTTGGAAATGAAACTGAATATGATTGTTTTTAGCAATATAAATTAGCTCAATTTGTTTTAAATTGATATCAGTTATACCAATCTGCCTTCCTACTCCATTCCTCATTCCTTTTTCTTTATTATGCTCATTATCTACATAAATCTTTCTTATCCCCACCAGCTTCTCCCCAGACACCTCCAAGTTTCTAAGTTTTGCCTTTTCTTCTATTTCTTCCCTTTCTCGATCAATGTTACTCTTTTTCCAATGAGGCTTTCTCAATTTGGTTTTCCTTCCCCTTGTTGCTTTTAAAACTATTTAAGTAATGCGTATCTAATAGATAATTAGAGGAAATATATTATTAAAGGATGTGAGAAACGTGTAAAGGAATTAGTTTAGGCTAGATAGCTCCAGCGGGGTAGTTAGAACCAGGAATATTATACAACGGGCTGATAGTTTCTTTCTGTGCTACAAATTTTACAGTTCTAATATATAGGCCTGTTTTTAAAAGGATAACATGCTCCTCAAAGGAAGATAATCAAAGTTACACATTGTAATTAAGAATGGTTTCCTCAGGGAAACATTGTCCCTTAATAAAAAGGCCCAACCAAGCTTACAAAACCAAGCTTGCTGCAGTGCACCATGCAATATTGTACACCAAATCAATGCATGTTTCTAAATAGGTAGAAATTAATATTTATAAATGCATTAAATATGTAACTTTTAGAGGAAAAAAATTATTTGCTACTTAACAAACAGAAACAAAATATTTTATGACATTAGGCATTAACATTCCCCCACAAAATACACAACTTTACAGTATATCCTGCGGAACGCTTTGACACATCTCAATGACATGATAAGGCATTATATCAAATACAAGTATTAACATTATTATTATTATTATTGTATCATGAATCTAAAGAAATTGTATTCAAATCTTAACATATTTACTGCCATCTTCCGGTGAAATTAGGAAATGAGCAGATATTATCTGTTCTTCAGATGAAACGTTAAATCAAGGCCCCAGCTGACCATGCTGCTGATTTAATTGGATGTTAAAGAGCCCATGGCAATATTTCAAAGAACAACAGAGTTATTCTGGTTTCCTGGATCATATAATTTCCAAAACACATTAATTGGTTATTTATCTCATTGGTGTTTGTGATACACTGTTGGGCACAGATTAACTGTATTAACAACAGTCAGTACATTTCAAAGCAAATCACTGTTTGTAAAGTTCTGAGAAGTTTTGACAATCTTACCCAACCTAACCCTAAACCTGACAAGATGCCAAAGTATCATTTTTAGAATACCTACTGATGAGACTATTAAGCGATTAAGCATCAAACTCAGTAAATAGTAAATGCTTGGGTTGGGATTATTCCTTGATAAGAATTACCTTAGAACAGGTCAACAACAAGATGCATTTTAAACTATGTGTCAGTTATTTCAGCTCTCCAAGATACTGCCCTTTGTGAATGGTTGTTATTGCTGTAAAGTTCAAAACATATCAAGTGCTAATTCTACAATTTCCCTCCTATTCATATCCACCCAAATTATCATTTTCCAGAAACAATGGCACAGGTGACCTTGGTGTAGAGAGGAGTAAAATCAGCCAGGACCCTGCTCATGCTCCCTATCTAGTGACTCTGAATAAAACAAATTTGTGGATGTTGGTTGGGGAGGCTCAGAGTTGATTGTGCAACCAAAATAGACATTTCAACACAATAATGTACTATTATCAGTCATTATTATTTGAATTCATTGTAATATTGTTTTACGAGATTGACATTATCCTTACAATTAACAAGTGCAGTACCATATATTTATAGTCCTGGGCTGAATGAAAAAAATGTTATCAGTTGATAAACGTATCGCACACAAGCAAATGAGTTGCTCATTTTAGTCCCTGCATAAACGTGTGCTCAACCATCTGCACAGCAGTAGGATGAAGTAAAAGGTTGAACATATTTAACTAATTTGTGAAATTCAACATTTAATGGAAAATAAAATTGTTTACCACAGACCTATAAATTTACATCATTAAAACATTACCTTTGCTACTTCCCAGGGGTGAATAGGCCACCATTGTGGCTTGCAGTTGCCCCAGTATATTATACCATTTTGATGTGTATGGTGTCTCAGAATTTCCTTTTTCCATTCTTCACACAACCAGCAAGCCTACTGAAACTGAAAACATAACACATTTTAAAAGTTATCTGCAACTCTGCTACCCCCCGAGTGAAGGGCAACATTATAAATGCAAGTTGTTTGATACTATTTCAACTGCGACGTAAGATGGTAAACAGAGCAACTTGTGTACAACTCGCAAAGTCATATTGCGCTTAGCAGTGAACTCGCAACACCCCAAACTTCCAGCTTCCCATTAGAGATGTCCTCTATAGAAAAAAAATACAACTTATTTAAAGATCATAAGACTCATCGGCCATACTCTGATTTGAGGAGAGCTGCCCTTTCAGTCCTTTTAACCGCAGGGCATTCCGCACCTCTGCCCCACACTCTGGACCTCCATCAAATAACCCCACCACCTCACCCCCTGCCTCGCCTCTAAAGACCTTCTTCTTCGACCGTGCTTTTGGGCCCCAAACCCCTGCCTCTCCAGCGCCCCTGGGGGGTGAATTGCAAGTGCAAGTTGCTATCGTTGTTGTTGCTGTTGGTGCGGTGGGTTGGAAATCACTTCCCCGCAGGAACGCTCTGCGGGGCGACGCAATCCTGCTTCCCGTGGGCTGACCTCGGTGGGCCGGGGTCTGCAGGCAGTCGCGCAGGAGGCTCGGCGCAGGGTGGGGTTGCGGTGCAGGATGGAGCCGTGGAAGCGGCGGATCTCCGCTCTGACGAAGCTCAGCAGACAGTCGCGCAGCTGCTGCAGACACCACCCCGCCTTCAGCCGGCGCGGGTACCCCGCCTTCAGCCGGCGCGGGTACCCCGCCTTCAGCCGGCGCGGGTACCCCGCCTTCAGCCGGCGCGGGTACCCCGCCGCGTGCAGGCGGACACCCAGCTCCGCCAGCATCGCGGCTCCCTGAAGGATGACGTCAGGCCTTTTTGGGACGTCCTCCCGACATGAAGGGCGCTCTATAAATGGAATCTTGTTGTTGTTGTTGTTGTTGCTTTCCCGGTCCCGGGGCTGCGCGAGGCTCGGGAGCAGCTCCAGGAAGCAGCGCGGACAGAAGTGACGCCACGTCTGTAGCCCAAAACCCGCCCAAAACAGTGCGTCCGCCCTCCGCCGAGCAGCGGGAGACCCCCGGTTCAGGTCTCTCAATGCTTTTCAAGCAAAAAGAAAAAAAAAAAGGGGGTCTTCAAAAGGGAAACAACAGGTGTTTGGAGGGGTTCAAACGATTGCAATTTAAATTTTAAAAAATGGTGCGCCCGCCCGCAACCCGCGCGTTAAACGCACGGCAACAGTAAAAACCCGCCCAATCGGGCGTGAAGCCGCCCAACTCCCCCGCCCACACTGCCAGTCCAGGCATTTCCGCGCACGCGCTCTGCCTCCTTGTGAGCCAGGGAGGAGGGATAATAATAATAATAATCCTTGCATTTGATATAGCGCTTTTCACGTCGGGAGAACGTCCCAAAGCGCTTCACAGAATATACTGTAAAGTGAATTGACTGTATATTTGTGGGCGAACGCGGCAGCCAATTGCGCACAGCAATGTCCCACATGTGTCCCCTGTCCCAGGGTTTCTGCTCTGGGCTCCACAAGCTCAGCCCCCACTCCAGACCCAATTCCATTTTTCGAACATTTCAGAGTGTGCAGAATTTTTTTTTTTTTTTTTTTACACACACACCCACACGCACACTCTTAAATGCAGTCTTGATTTTTTTTTTCGCGGTGGCGGGAGGGAGGGTGGAAGTGGGAGGGGGCCGGGCGGCGGGGTGTCTGAGACGCGTGTCAATGCGTGGCCATCACCATGCTTAAGAGTATCCCAACCAGAGTTTCCCACCCCCCCCCGCATCTCACCAATGAAAAGGTTTGGTTTGGTGTGGATACTCTTTTAAGCAAGGTGATGGGTTTCCGCACCACCCCTCCCCCATTCCCGGGCTCGACTGTTCGGTGCTTTGGCACGTCCTCCCAACGTGAGAGGGAATTAATGTCATTTTGTTGTTGTTCATATGTCAGACAACTAAAAATCCTTGCATTTTATCCAGCGCATTGTCATAACAACAACTTGCATTTATATAGAGCCCTTCCCGCGAGGTAGCGTCCCAGAGCCCTTCACAGTGGCGGAGTCTGACCCGGAGTGAGGAGAAGAGGGAGGGGGGAGGTGACCGTAATCACGATCAAAAAGTCTTTAGGCGGGATTTGAAGGTGGGGAGGAAGGGGCAACGAGGAGGGATTGAGGGAGAAAGTTCCAGAGTATCGGGGGTGTAGTGGCTGAAGGCACGGCCGCCGATGATGGAACGAAGGGCATAAGGGACAAATCGGAGGACGGAGCCACCCAAGCAGAGGCAGCGGACGGTGGAATGGGGGGTGTGGGGGTAGGCAAGTTGGTTAGGTAGGGAGGTGTGAGGGAATTAAGTGATTTGAAAAAGAGAGGACCTTAAAATTGATCCATTCGGTGATTGGGAGTCACGTCAGTGGAGCCTGGCAAGAACTGGTGTGATGGGTCTACGGCGTTTTGTGATCATGTCGTTGAGATACCCCAAAGCACTTCACAGGATATACTGTAAAGTGAATTGCCTGTATTTTGTGGGCAAAACGCAGCACCCAATTGCGCACAGCAGCGTCCCATAAACAGTCCTGGATTGACTGACCAAATTTTTTTTATATAAAAGGATTATTACCCATCCAGAAAGCAATCCCCCAAATCCCCGGGAAATTTGAATGCACATTTTGTACCCTGGGGTCAATCAAGTGCTTTGCTATTAGGCCTTCAGTTTAGTAATTACACAGGAAGTTAAACAATAATAATCCTTGCATTTGATATAGCGCCTTATCACGTCTTCGAGACGTCTCAAAGTGGCTTCACAGAATAGAATGTAAAGTGAATTGACTATATATTTTGTGGAAGAAAAGCGGCAGCAAATTGCACACAGCAGTGTCCCACAAACAGTCATGGATTGAGAGACCAGTTTTTTTTTTGGAAGATTATTACCCCCGGAGAAATGATCCACCAATCAACCAACAACCGGGTTCGAACTTACTGCTTGGCAAACAGAGGTATGTGGAGTAAGGAAACTTACCCAACATTTGCCCCTGCCGGGAATTGAACCCAGGTCTATGTCTTGCGAGGCGAGTGCTCTAACCACTGAGCTACAGGACTCCACGTAAATCGCTGAAACGCATATTTTTTTTTGAAGGATGGAGGGAGGGAAAAATGAGAGTCTGAGCGTGTTCATTTTGAAGCCAGTTTTCTGCAGTATTTTTAAAAAAAAACCTGCTCCTAAATTTTCAGTCTTAGACCCGTTAGGAAATACCTGCCTTCAGGCATATTATACAACAGCAACTTTATAATTTTCAAAAAAGGAAAAACAAAAAGACTATTAGATGGCAGTAACCAGATAATGTGACAAAAAAATGGGGAAATGCATTTACAGTTGGATCCAATGTAAAACTCAAAATTAGGGAAACGTTAGCTTTGAAAAAAGACCCCAGCAAACAATTCAGACACATTGAAGCATAAAGAAGCAATGAGAATTTGGAACAATTACAATTTTAAAGGAAATAGCTGAAATTAGTTGACATGCCAGTGCAGTACTAGGCTACATTAAGAATTGCCATCCTTGAGATCTCTGATGAGGCGTGACCAGAGATTTCAACTGTATGTTGTGGTGGGGGGCGCAGGGAGAGAGTAAAGATTTTTGAAGAAAATGTGCATTTAAATATTATATGTAATATTAGCCAACACTGAGTCACACAATAGTAAAATGTTTGAACGTTTTGATGTTTATAGGCACCGCATCAAAAACACGGCTCATTTAACTTTTCCCACTCATGGACTTTCCAATCAAGAGCAGAACAGCATACCTCTAAGATGCAGCTCAGTATTCTACCACAACCAGATGCACAACAACCAAAGTGATTCGACTTCCAAGATCCTCACATTTGTTTTCAACCACCTGGTGCCTCCGCTCGACTCGTACCGGTCTCTTGCTTGTCCTCGCGCCCTCCGCTCCACCATTGGAGGTCGCACATTCAGCCACTACACCCCGAAACTCTGGAACACTCTCCCTCAATCTCTCCACCTTGCTCCCTCTCTCCCCCTTTTCAAGTCCCGCCTGAAAACCTTCCTTTTCAACCGTGCTTACAGTCACCTCCCCAATACGGAGTCAGGCTCCGCCACGGTTAAGCGCTCTGAGACGCTACCCTGCACGGAGGGTGCTGTATAAGTGCAACTTGTTGTTGTGCTCCCTAATAGAGTTGCTTACCAATCAGTTTAACACACCAATACATGTAAAGCTCAAATATGTATTGGAACCTTGTTTTGATATTTTTAGAAGTCTCTTTATTGCATTGTAAAATTTCAAAATAAACCTAGACTGCATAGGTGACAATACAATTCTTTTAATACTTTAGATTTCTGTAGGTCACCAGAAACGCTCACCTCTGTAGATTGAACAAACTGAATGCCCCCCACTATTATCACAATAGTAAAGCTATTAATAAATCAGGATAGATTTAATCCTGAAGATTTCACTTAATTGAAAATAAATATTAAGGAATTAAAAAGAATTAAATATTTCACTGGTCCTCCCATCATTTCTCTTTCTGTCTTTTAAAATTTGAACATAATTTTTATTCTTTTAACAGTTTACTTTTCTAATTGCTTTTTCTCAGACTTAAAACTACATTTTCCTTTTGTCTTCCAATATCTTGCTCCTGCCATCCATTTGCTGCAAATGCAGTCACTACTCTTAACTATCAATACTGTGAAATGCTGATAATATTTTGATGCAATAAGGCGCTATATCAAATGCAAAGAATATTATTCAAGAGATTGGAACTTTTTTTTCAAAATATTTTTTCACTGAATGGCAACTTCAAAGGCAGCTTTGCCGAAGACGAAAAAGGCAGGTTCTCAATATCCAAATGACTGCATCACAACTACACATCTGGTGTAATACTCATTTCAAAACTTGGTAAGACAAATATTTGAACTATTACAGAAAATAAAGTAGATACAATGAGTGGTATTTTATCTGCTCGTTTATTAAATATTGCTTCCGAGTCAATAGGACCTAACGACTCAAATTTTATGTAAAGATTTAAAGCAGTCATAATAAAATACAACTCCATTACTTTAAAGTTTATCACAGTTTTACATTACAATAACCATCAATGTAACAAATAGGTTTAAGAAAAAAAACTTAAGCTATTATGCCACAACATAGGAAAATTGACACATTTACATTCTCAAAATAAAACAAAAAAAATCAAAATGTTGGCATCTTCATAATCTAATTATCTTCTCATACATATTATAACAAAGATTAAATCTAAGTCAACAAGATGACCAGTAAAAGGAATCTCACTGGAGATTTAATTTTTTCTTGAAATGCAGTTTTCCAAAATACAATATATATATATAACAGCAGGTAAACAAAGCGATGAAAAATTGATGAAAGAAGTGCATCCCTGAAAAATAACTTTAATGGATCATGCTCTTTTTAAGTCACTTTAGAGCATGAATCTCACGATTCATAATCCTGTTTTGCATCAAACACTGTTACTTTTATAACTCATCCATTGAGCTTCAGTCATTTTTTTTCTCTGTTCTGAGAACCCCATAAGGCAGATTGTAGTGTTACTGTCGACCCCCAGGGGGCAGTGATAGATTTGCCATCAAGTCCCGCACCGCTGCAAAGATTGTGCAGTCACCTGAAAAGGTGTCACAGAAAATACAGGAGATCACAAGTCGATAAAGATGTCAAACAAAATAATTCACAACAAGGTCATTTTTATATCCTCCAAGATGTACTCTTTATAGTAGTGGCAGGGGTTGCTATTTGAGCAGCAAGCAAAGCTAAAATAAAACAAGTGGGTGGTCCAAAAACTATGGTAGATTCCACCAGAGATTCAAATTTTATTTGCCATCTCCAGTGATACTTGTTTTAGAAATCTTTGCTGTATTATTTGTTTGGAAATAAATATTCCTTCAGCTGCAAATAAATGGGTTTCTGAGTAAGTAAACCCATTATTCTTGATGCTAGAAAACTGCCATTTTGTCTTAAAATAAAAAAAACACATTTCTGGATAATCATACAGGAAGAAAAATAACTTCCATAACAGTTTTCATGAAGGGCTTTCACGTGGATGTAACAACGCAGCATAGGGTACAGGTTTTGATGAATGAGAAAAGGAAGGGGGAAGGAGAGGGAGAGAAAGAAAACACACCCACAAAATAGTCAATCCACTTTACAATCTATCCTGTGAAGTGCTTTGAGATGTCTTGATGACATGATAAGGCGCTATATCAAATGCAAGGATGAGTATTATAAAGAAAGACGTATGGATACGCCTGGCAGGTTTGATGGTTTTCACCGTGTTTTGTATTGTCTTTAGAGCTTTCTATTCAGTCATCCTGCAGTTAAAAATAAATCACTGTTTCCCAATTGGAAGAATGCTTCCCACACATTTTAATAAATATAAGAAACATATTTTGGAGTTGGACTGATTTCACAGGCTTGGGTTTACCCTTTTTTACGGTCAGCCAGGCCGGTTTGAGAGATGCGGAAACAATGCTCAAGAGTATCTAAACCAAACTGAGAATTCGACCTATACATGGAAATGTTGGTTTACCTTGCTGTGGCTGATGTACCTCTGCAAACCTCCTCAGAATGTTGCTAACCATCGAAGCAGCTGCACCCGATGTATTTTGTGGCCGAGGAATGTCGGCTTGCTGGGTTGTCCCTGTTGCCATGTCATAGACAATTGGCACAATTATGCTGATCGGTTCCTGTGGCACCGTCAGTCGCTGCGTGAGCTGGAGCTAAGAGAAGAAAAGGAGACAAAGAAAAGTACTTTGAACTTTGGAATCACCAATACAGAGGATTCAGAAATTAGCTCATTTAGTTTTCCTTCCAATTTTTCCATAAAAAAATGATTAAAGTGCTTTAAGACATTTCAACATATAAGCCAAGTTTCAGCAAGTTCTTTGTTTGTTCCATCATGGTCTGTGGCTAGAACAGATTTGTATGGAAAGAAAAGGCGTTTGATTCAGGAAATGATTAACCAGAAGATTCTCAGCGAGGTCTTCTTCCCATTTTAAAACAATAATATAAGAATCCTTGCTTTAGGAGGAGGTCTCAAAGCAATTCACTGAATGTATTGGTGGTCACTGCTATAAAATATATTTCACCTACAAAATAAAGTCACTACAATTAACTTTATGATACTATTGTTCAAATGACAAGTTAAATTAATCTCCTTATAACTGACCATCAATAACAATACACAAAATACTGCAGATGCTGGAAATCATTTTTTACAAAACCCTCCCCCTTTTGTTTTACCCACCATCAACTCTTTAACCCATCAACTAACACATTCTCTCCTTTGTCTTTTTTTTGTCCTCTTTGTCTTCCTTGTCCTGCCTCCCCCTCTCAACTTGTCCTTAAAAACCTCTCCCTCCCAACATGCCCCAGTTCTGACGAAGGGTCGTGGACCCAAAACGTTGACTCACTTTCCTTTCTCCATAGATGCTGCCTGACCTATTGAGTTTTCCTAGCTCTCTCTGGTTTTGTTTCATCAATAATAGCTCATTATCGATACAACAACAACAGATTATATTTTTATAGAGCCTTTCACGTCAGGAAGACGTCCCAAGGCGCTGGACAGTCAGGGATCCGCTCCTGAGCAGGGGGTTGGGATCAGGAGCGGTGGAGGGTAAGGAGGGCACGGGTAGGAGGGTGACAGTAGGTACGGTCAAAGAGGAGGGTTTTGAGACGGAACCTTATAATCTCAAAGGAAACAAGGGTTTACTACTTACAAAAAACAGCATCTTGGATTTTAAAACCACAGCAGGTGTTCCTGGAGGAGCTATTGGTGGAGCACTGGGGGGAATTGTCAAACAGAATTGCACATTCCACCTCAGCTGGGCAGCCTGATCTGGAAACTAGAGAGCACGTTAAACTCTTTTACTCAGTTCCCTTCAAATTTTCTTATAATACAACACAAATTTATATTTATAAGGGCAGAACGACTAAAAGTCCGCCCACTACTGTTCTTGAAATCAAATGGATAAAATGAGGCATTTTGAATAACTATTATAGAATATTTTTGGCACAACAATTAGCTAATATGCAACAGTCTAACCAATATTTTCACTGACAATAATTATAGCAAATTATAAAAAGCATTACTTTGTTATCATTCACAAGTCTAAAGCATGGTGTTGAAATTAACATTTAAGACAAATCTATGCCTTCATTTTGTTTTAGTAAAACTGGACATAACAGAACAACAAAATAACATTTGTATAACACCTTTCACGTTGGGAGAACGTGCCAAGGCGCTGGACAGACAGAGTTTCGGTCCCGAGCTGGAGATCAGGGTCAGGGAGGGCAAAGGGGGAAGCAGGGAGATCGAAAGCATGGTCGAAGAGGAGGGTCTTGAGGTGGGTCTTGGTGGCAAGGGAGGGGGCGAGGTGGAGGGACTGCGGGATGGAGTTCCACAGGGTGGGGGCAGAGTGGCAGAAGGCCCGCCTGCCAATCGTGGGGCGAGCGAGGTGGGGGACGTGAAGCAGGCCGGAGTCCGCTGAGCAGAGGGAGTGAGCGGGATGGTAGGGGGTTAAGAGGTCGCAGAAGTGGGGGGGGGGGGGAGTAAGACCTTGGAGGGCTTTGAAGGTGAGGACTAGGATCTTGAACTGTATGATAGGAAGCCAGTGGAGTCGGGCGAGGATGGGGGTGATAGGGTCATGGAGCCTGGTGGGAGAGAGGACACGAATTGCAGAGTTCTGGATGATCTGCAGCCTGTGGAGGGAGGAGTTGGGGAGGACGACTAGCAATGAGTTTGCATAGTCAAACCTTGAATTAATGAAAGCATGTATGAGGGTTTTGGCGGCCTGCGGTGTGAGACAGTAGCGGAGCCGGGTGATGTTGCGAAGGTGGGGGAAGGCAGAGGGGGTCATGGCGCAGATGTGGGGAAGAAAGGTTAGTTGAGAATCAAAAAGATGCCAAGGTTCAGGATTGGTTTAAGTACACGCATTTGTGTGTGCAACCATGGATGGTGATGTTGTCAGTGCCTGAGGTGAGGAGGCGCTGACGGAAGACAATCAGGAGAGCCTCAGTCTTGTTGACGTTCAACTGAAGAAAATTAGCTCTCATCCAGGACTTGATGAGAAGAGATTTGCTAAATTTATACTGTGAGGTACTGTCACACGACAAGGCCAAATAGGTACTGACAACATAAAAGACATCCAACCAAGCTTAAGCGTTGGATTGCAATGCTTTTTGTTTGTATGAGTATTTAGAAGCAGAGTTAAAGAACAAATCTGAATGGCACACCTTAACTCCCCTAGCTTTATTTAAAAAACTATAACAGGCATGGTGATATATTGCTTTTTTAGGAAATAAAAGATTGTTGAGTTCAATTTGACTTAATAAATATTCCCTAGAGTTCAAAAATATTCTTCTAATGAAGCAATTTCACATTGCTACTATTGAACTTGCACCACAAATAGCCACATCTGCCAAAATTTAAATAGCTTTATTATAAATACCACAGCACGTTTTGTAAAAGGCCTCTTATTTCATTGAACAGAGAAAAGATCAGTCTGATTCAACATATTAAATGGACAAGAGTGATCTTTTCTTATGTTTCTGTGAACAGTCTGATTCAGGGGAAGGGGAGAGAGAATAATAATCCTTGTATTAGATATAGCACGTTGTCATGTCTTCAAGATGTTTCAAAGCATTTCACAGAATATACTGTAAAGTGTAGTAACTGTGTGTTTTGTTGGAAAAACGTGGTAGCCAATTGCACACAGCAGTTTCCCACAAACAGTTGTGGATTGAGTGACCAAATTATCTTCTTTTTAAAAAAAGGGATTATTAACCCTGGAAAATAATCCACCAATTGACTAACACCCGGGTTCCTACTTACTGCTAGGTAAACAGAGGCATGTATGTGGAGTAAGGAAACTTGCCTAAGATTTCGTCCTGCCCAGGAATCGAACCCAGGTCCTCTCGCTTGTGAGGTAAGCACACAAACCCCTACCCTATGGGACTCCACATGGAGGCTGGAAGAGGGTGGAGAGCACATTAACCAACTCTTTTTTGTTTTTTCTGTTTGTTCTAATGTACACAAAGTGGAAAAAAACAGACAAATTATTGGGTCTTAAACGAATAAGGCTTTGTACAAGAATACAGTTCTGAACTAAAACCTGAACTAAAAATATTCAAAAACTCTCAAAGTCAGCTCATTTACCAGTTCCAGTTTCATAATCCGCACACAATCCCGGAGAATCTGAGTGTGGGCTCCCAATAGCTTAGCAAAGGCATTTAGTGTGTTGGCTTTAAATGGAGGACCTGCAACCTAAATAAAACATAACAGAATTAATGATATTATTGACACTGCTGCACAGATTTAAAAGAAGCCTGAATTCAATTAAAAGCAGAAAAGGTATGTTGTACCATCTGTGAATTGTAAATGGTTCAATATGTTGTGATGTGAAAAATGTGTACATTCCACATAGCATTTCACTTGTAAACTAATCTTAAAATAAGATGGCACTACTTTTTTCATGCAGAGGATATCAAAAATATAGATAGGGTTCAAGATGTAAATGCAGAAAGACAACGTCCTTCTCATCCATTTTTTATGCAAAAGCCCATCATTTCTCACATAATCCCCTTTAATGTGGAGAACGCGGCATTTCAAACACTACACTTCTTCATGACAGTTTTTCATGGATTTAGACAGCAATAACGCAGTCTGAAACTTGACCTTTCATGGTCACTAAATGTAATGATATTGGACGAGAAAAATTCCTGGTGTTTGAGGGGAAAAAAATATAATTAACTAACATCCAACAAGGAGACCCACACTGAATATACTAACCATGTAACATTTCACTTAAAATTATGTTTACAAATTCATTTTAAAAATGACAATCAATGAATATCATGAGTGGAAATAATGCACAATTCTGAAGTATATTACATAAATTGACTTTTCTCATCCATTGATCGTAATCCAACAAAGTACATTACGTTTTGTGTTGACAAGTTATTGTTTACAGATTGACAAATTGTTTACAGGTACAAAAATTAAGCTTGCAAATAAACTCTCAAAACAACTAATTTCCAACAATAATCCAATGTATTACAAAGGAAAGCTTGATAAAAAAACACAGAAACATTTAGTTGTTTTGACATAAAATTGTTAAGGGAACTAGATGATGCAAATATGAATGCCAAGGTTTGAATCTACAGCAGACTGACAAATGAAAGTTTCCTGTCTCCGTTGTCTGCATAGCTCACATGAGATTGGGATGCTTTGCAAAGGTTGGGGAAAAGGAGAGAAGCTTCATCTGCCACACTTAACCTGTGCTAACGCACTGCTTATCCGATGCTAAAAATGGGTGTTGAAATGGTGATTGATGCAACAGCAACATCCCTCACCTTGATAATAATAATCCTTGCACTTAATATAACGCTTTATCACGTCTTCGAGACGTCCCATAGCGCTTCATAGAATACACTGTGAAGTGAATTGACTGTACTTTGTGGGCGAAACACTGCATTTTAAGGAACACAAACTTTCACCCTAAGCTTTTTTTAAAAGAAAGATTATTCAGTGACATGCAGGTGATAACAAAAACAGATGGTTAACATCATGCTTATTCTTTAAACAAACCAAAAGAAATGAGCATATATTTTGTAGACGATGTATCAGAATACAGACATGACATTAATGTTTTAGGATCATGTTCAGACAGCTCCTATTACAGGGCCTTTGGGCGCCTTGGGACATCCTCCTGACTTGAAAGGCACTATACAAATGTAATTTTGTATTGTATACATTTTATTTAAACAGCGTGTGAGGGAAATCGCTCAGGTTTGTTGAAATTCCAATAAAGTACTCAAATCACTAAGTGGATGTCAGTAAATATAGACATTACTTGCTTCATAACATTTTCACAAAATTAGGCGAAATACTCATTGAGGTTATTACGATATAAGTAGCTTTAAAAGCATTCATTCAATTTCTCTGATGAGTTGGATATTTGCCTATAAATTCACAATCACCATATATTGTAGAAAACTGTGAAGGCGTTTTGACGAAATAAGGCGCTATCTCAAATCCAAGGATTATTATTGTATTGAAAAGGATGTAGAAAACAACCAATGGGATCGTTCAACTAGGAAGTTGTTTTCATGGATCGAGGAAAGCAGTGAAATACAATTTTACTGATGTAAAGACTTGAAATAGTTACTCACAATGGTCATGCCTCTTACAGCACAGAATCACTAAAAGCCTCCATTAGTCAAGTGTTTTGGTTATTTACAGTGACCTAAAATTGCACATTTCTCCACAACAATCAGATATAAACCCACAACGTCACGTTAGCACCCAAATTAGCACTTGACTGATGGTAATTAACATAGCCCAGTATGTTGGTATATTGGGTTAAGGGGGAATGAGGAAAGGAAACTGTCAAGAAAAAGATCACTGGAAACTTCCTGCCTGACCAGTTCCTTGAGTGACCGATGTAGGTAATATTTAGAATTGTTACAGCAAGAAGAGAATGCATTTCATATCTTACTCTCGTTTCAAAGAACTTTTCCAAGACTTGCAGTTCTTCTTGTGTCCATGGGTCTGTTGTTTCGGGCGTCACTTTAAACTGCAAGGTCTGGTAGGTCTGTGGGTTCAGTGCCACGCGACACTTCAGTGCTTCAGTCTTAAACATGATTACACCTGGTTCATTGGAGTTTATAAGCTGCAACTAAAATTAGACAAGACAACATTCAAAACGAATTTTAGGCAACCTGGACAAACAAAAGTTACCTGTGGAGAGACAGTATCCTCGGCTATGGAAATTATAATTCCTACAAGTGTAGACTAATTATAACATTTCCAAGAAAGATTAGAGATACCCTAACTTTTCAAATTTTACAATGGTCTCCAGAAAAAGAACTTTATCGTACCGGTTCTTGTTGAATTATCCTTTGTAGGTGTCGCCTCATCATAACAGATCCTAAGAATCGCTCGAGAGGGGAACAAAGGTAACTGCCAGCCAGTCCTGGCACAAGACCTGGTGTTGGTGATGGGCAAAGTAGAATATGCAAGGCATTATGAGTTAAGATGGTAGGTATTGATGCAGCCCATGATCGCTGAGGTAGTGTACGAGGTGGAGGCATATTTGTCGGCATTGTTTGGGAGCCTGAAAATACAGAAAACGCAAGTCAATAAAAAAGAACTTTGCACATTTAAAGTACCATATGCAGGTGTTTTGATAACTTATGTAACAAAATGTCAAGAATTTTACAAGAATTTCAAAATGGTTTACATTAATTATGTTGCCACGTAGTTTGCACAAAAGTGTGGATGGATAAAAAATAATTCAAAATGTAAATATGCATGGAAATTATTCTATTGGAATCAGGATTAGGATACTGGAGGCAAGAGTGAATTTAAAATGAGAATAATCAAATATATTGGTGAATTCAATCTGCATTTCATGATTTATTTCAACTCAGATGGATTAATCCTTTTGATACAGCATTATGAAAAAGAGTCAAGTCAGTAACTATTGAGACTTACTTGTTCCAGCTCGTGGAGAATGGGAGACGTCAGGGATAGGGGAGTGCAAGGAGGGGTTTGCCGGAGACATTCCAGGTATGCGTGCTAAAGCCGGCCCAGGCAACTGTGGAGACCCAGGCCAGGTCCCCGGTCGCTGACTGGGTGATATAATTGTGTAAGGTGAACTTGGGTCAATTGTGCCTGAACAAATAAAATTGTACAGTTTAAGTAATAATTACAAGTTCATTTCAGTCAGAAATTGGTTGTCAATCTATACTTTACATGACCCAACACCATCATCCCACAGTAATCTCGGTTGTATCTCAGGACCCACATTATAAATTAATGTGAAATAATGCCCTGATTCCACTTCAGACCCAGGGAAATTTCCTTGCATAGGTGGCATGATTCCATGGAACCGTCAGTCTGGTTTGGAATACCCTTAAGCGTTGCAATGGATTTCTGCCTGTTTAGGCATCCGACTGACCAAAACAAAATCTACAATTACGAACAATTTAGAAACATAATTAGGCCATTCAGCTCCTCCAGCCTGTTCCGTCAATCTATAAGATCATGGCTGATCTGCACCTCAACTCCAATTACCTACCCTTGCCCCATATCCCTTGATACTCTGACCTAACAAATATCTATCCATAGTCTTGAAAATGGAAATGGATCCAGGATCCACAGCCTCTTGGAGGAGAGAGTTCCAGATTTCCATGACCATTTGGTGAAAAACTAGTTCTAATTTTAAGATCCTGCCCCTTTGTTCTGGATTCCCCTACCAGAGGAAATACTTTCTCTGTATCTACCCTATCGATTCCCTTTATTGTTATAAAAACCTCAATCAGATCACCCCTCAGCCTTCTAAACTCAAGGCAATAGAGATCAAGTTTATCTAACCTGTCCTCATAATTTAACCCTTTAAGCCCTGGTAACACTCGAGTGAAATTTCCACAGGAATGAATTGCCACAAACATTAAGTCAATGAATCATCAATCTTGCTTACTAGAGGAAGAGGCATGGAAGTAACAGCTCTAAAATGTAGCATGAAAAGACCATTTTAGTGAAGCAGCGAGAAGACACTCACCGTGAGGACTTGCAAAGTTTGGTGTCTGTCCCATTGAGATTCCAAGGGAAGAGGGGGAGGGAGACGGTACGAATGATGCTGGTGAAGATGCTCGCAATGCACCACTTGGAGAATTAGCTGGATGTAAATTCCCTGCACAAAACAATGCATTTAATTAAATTGCTTTTAATACAGCAATGGTAATTCTCTTTAAAGGGTTGAGGCACTGTGACTCAATAAATTCACAGGAGGTGAATTTATCCAATGACAAACTGAATTTCACCACTTGTGGACATACGATCAAGAATGCATCGAAGAATTAACCTTGTTCTTTGTGCTTAATGATAGGAACAGGTTACCAGAAGGGTTACTGAGGCAAGGACACTGGGCTCATTTAGGAAACAACCTGATGCTGCAATAGGAAGAACAGGTATTTTGGAAGGATCAGATGAAAAGGGCCAAAGGGCCTAATTCACCTTAATTCCTCTTGTAAATTCTTACTCGTGTACTTTAATGAAAGAAAAACTGTTTTCCCTGGTCTATGGAATTTCTATGAGTACAGAGTATAAGTAGAACATGAAAATGATGTTGCTTGCCAACAAGGTAGATATAATTTTTGAAACCCCAAACTAAAATTGTCTAATTTCTGCCACCCTTTCACAAGCAAACTTAAAAACAAAGTCCACACACGCATACTAATACACTGAAAAAAATCACAGAATAACAAATACATTACTGTAGCAAACTACAACACCAATGACTTGACACAGATTGTTTTGTCATTATCCCGAATTAAGAGAATATGGGCAATGTGGCATTGCTTATTGTAGATTTATACCTTACATAGCACAGAATCCAGAAAAAAAAACTGATAGTAATTGCTAATATTCAATGCTGCTCAACATAATGAGAAATTTGTCTTGAGAACTGAGAATTCGTCTTGAGATAATGAGAAATTCATCAAATTTCAGCAGTAATGGAGTGCACCATCACCCGTGACCCAATTCTTTGAAACTCCATGTCTCAATCCCTCCTCCCCCTCTTTATTCATCTTCAATTCCCACCAAAGCCCTATCTCTTCAACTGCACCCAAGGTCACCTCCCCCCCACTCCCCCACGATTGACATCCAACTCTGCCCAGCGCTCCGAGACGCTATTCTGCGTGTAGGGCAAATTTTATAAATGCAAATTTTTGTTGGAAGGGTTTTGCGCTAAAATACTTCTAAATTACCTCATATCCATCAGAAATAGTTTTCTTCTTTTCATGCTTAAGACTATAGCAAAACAAAAAAAAACACTTACCTGGTGATTGCGTAGGCATCATTTGTGGTGATGGAGTCACAGTATTGTGATACGATGTAGGTGGTGATGTCAATGGGTATGTTACGCCTCCACTAGCTTTGACAAAGGGCTAAGAGAATAAAATAGTTACATGTTAATGTTAGTAACATAGGACCAGGATGGGCTCATGTTAGGTCAAGCATGGAAAACCCCTTGGTTTATTCCTACCGCCGCACCCCCACCCCCACACTCACTCTCTCACACACACGCACACTCACTCTCTCACACACAGAATTCTAGAATAATCACTTTGTAACAAAGCTCACACAGAGTTTTTTTTTTAAAATACATGTTTGGTTCATCTGGAAATACAACAGCAGCAAAAGCTCCTGTGTCCCAGAGGGAATTTCCTTCACCTATACTGCCAAAACACATCTTCTTTCCTTTGCACCATTAGTGGCCTACCTTCAATGCTTTATAGAGACCATTAGTGATAAAGGAGCTCAAGAGCAACATGCCTGTCCAAAGCTCAGGGAAAACAATTAAATAGTTGGCACAGTGCAGCTCATAATAATAATCTTGCTTTTGATATAGCGCTTTTCACATCTTCTAGACGTCTCAAAGTGCTACACAGAATATGCTGTAAAGTGAATTGACTGTACATTTGTGGGCGAAACGCGGAAGTCAATTGCGCACAGCAGTGTCCCACAAACAGTTGTGGATTAAAAATGATCAATTTATTATTGTTTTGTTTTGGAAGGATTATTATTAGTGTGTGGAGTAAGGAAACTTGCCCAAGGTTTCGCCCTGCCAAGGTATCTCACTTGGAAAGCGAGTGCTTTAACCACTGAGCTACAGGACGCCACATCTGGATGGTCCCAGTACAAAGTCGTACTAATTATTTTTTCTTAAGTAAAAATTGGCCCAATATATTCAGTACTGATAACGTCACTGCTCCAAGTCAAATTTCTTTTGAAGAAATATCTCACATAAATAAACTAGGCAGAAGCACATTAAAACAAAAAGGCTACTGAACAGCAGGCACTGTACCTGCTGTGGCTGAAGCTGAGAGATGAATGACTCCATCATGTCTCCACCAATAGGAGATGGTGGATTATCATCTTCATTCACCGATCGCCTGCGTGCATCCTGGGTGCTGTCCACAAACATATTCAAGAATGTCTGTGGAAAATAAGCAACATTAAACCACAAAGTCCTTTAGATACCACACTGCAACTTAATACATTTTACAAATGTGGAATGCAGTTAAGGCCAGCTGTGAAATTTGATAAAAGCCGTCAGAAACATCTCTGCACAACATTTTGGATGAATAACTAATTCACCCACAATAATCAGCTAATTCAGGTTTCAATAATGCATTGCAAGCTATAATAGCACTGATCACCAAGTTATTGTTTTTTTAAACTAATGTTGTGGTCAGAATATTAGAAAAGCACCAGTGCTTTATTTAGAATGTATTAGATAAATCAAATACTTCTGAAGGCAATCAACATTCACTTCAAGCAGCAATTTTATACAGACCTTTAAGCCTGGAGCTGGATGGAATCCCTCCACAATCTTACTGTTGTCAAAAAGACTGTAGGCACCATCTCGAATAGCCACAACGCCTCGACTTCTGCAGTATATGTCAATGCAGTACATATTGCGGAAAGCAAGTCTGATGTGTGTGGGTGACTGGGGTAGTATCGAGAAACATTGATAGGCAGTATTTGTTCGATGTGTGAGGCCCAACATTGGCACTGTTGGGAGTTTATTAATGGCATTGAGTGGTGCTTGTGTATCATACAGTACCTAGGGAAAAAAGCAGAAAATGCTTATTCACAAAATTTCAAACAAATATCTGAATCGAGATTCTGATTTCATTCTTTCAGTAGTGTTCATCAACTTCTACAGAGCAAATATCCAAATAAAAGAAAATCCACCAGGCCCAACATTGGCATGGTTGGGAGTTTATTAATGACTTTTTTTTTAAAAAAAAAGTTTGAAGCAAAGTTTGTCATATCGTCTTCCCTAACCTGGCCATGCGTAAGGCCTCATCATGACATTTTCTCATTCTTTTGAAAGGAAGTGTGACACACAGTCACATATTAGGTAAACAGGCATAATTCCTTATTCATTCAGTCATCCATTAAATTTGCCCTTAAAATCAAATCATGTGAAGTATATAAATAACAGGTAGATAATAGGTTGGTAGCTCTGACTTAATATGGGAACCAGGTCAACTATTGCAACACAGAGTGCTCATTGGCTTGAGTTGCCAAGTTAATACTGTGTTAAAGCACATAATTTACTTCAAATACCTGACAATTGGCTGCCGCATTTCGCCCACAAATATACAGTCAATTCACTTTACAGTATATTCTGTGAAGCGCTTTGAGACGTTTAGAAGATGTCTAGAAGCACTATATCAAATGCAAGGATTATTATTATATATAATCCCTGCATAGGCTTTCAAAATTGGTTCTTCCTACACATTATGCAAAGGCTCTGAAACAAAGTTGATATGTCTTTTCCCATGAGGAAACATATAGTCACATGAAAATTTTCAGTACCAGCATCACTATGCCCCACTCCCAGCTCAGGTGGCAAGCCTGGCCTGTTAAACAAACAAATGCCTTGGGACTAAGTGAAAGGCACTGTATACATTGTATTGTACAATGGAGTCCCAATAGATCCAAGAATTAAGCTTTCTTTATCCAGCATAGGGCTACCAGTCTTACTGTTGTTTCCTTTGCTTACATGCTGTGGCATTTCCCAGGGCTTTGAATCCATCTAATGCAACATCACAACTGACTTGGCTCTTGCAACAAAGCTTTGCAGACTTTTGTTTTGAAAACTCGCCATATGATCTATCCCTAGATAATATCACCTGTCAAAGACAGTCTTCAGATGAAAGATCTGTTTGCCTCATTGGACCAAGGAACTGCTCAATATTTCAACTGTAACATTCTTATATGGTTTGAGTAAAAACAGTAAGATTTTAATTACAATAATGTTACATTTCAACAATATTGTCATTGGACCCAGGAATACATCCCTCTATGTTAACTAACCAGACATTCACCAACTTGTGTTCCTTCAAGACCACAATTAACTGCCATGCTCAGCATTGGAGAAATTTGCATCTCGTGAAGGAAGCATTGATCACAGAGGAAAAATTAATTAGAACAATTCAAGGGCGTTCAGGAGCAGAAAGACCTGGGGGTTCATAGACACAGGTCTTTGAAGGTGGCAGAACAGGTTGATAAGAGGAGATTTATCAGAATGATACCAGGGATGAGGGAGAATCTGGGATTGTTCTCCTTAGAGCAGAGAAGGTTAAGGGGAGATTTAATAGAGGTGTTCAAAATTATGAGGCGCATTGATAGAGTAGATAGGGAGAAACTGTTCTACTGGCAGGTGACTCAGTAACCAGGGGACATAGATTTAAGATAATTGGCAAAAGAAAGAGGGGACATGAGGAGATTTTTTTTAAAAAACAGAGAGTTGTTGTGCTCTGGAATGCACTGCCTGAAAGGTTGGTGGAAACAAATTCAATAACAACTTTCAGAAGGGAATTAGATAGATACTTGAAAAGAAAAAAACTGTAAGGATATGGGGAAAAAAGCAGGGAAGTGGAACTGATTGGGTAGCTCTTCCAAACAGCCAGCACAGACACGATGGGCCGAATGGCCTCCTTCTATGAAGCAATATTCTATGATTCTATGCAATAAAAGAAACATTGATCATAGATGAAGCATTATTCAAGAGGGAGAGTCAGGATGCCTCACTTCAGCACAATGAATGATCATTGTTTCACCTCCTAAGTGAAACAATGACCATTCAAAATATCCATCACCTGAGAATCTGTTCACATGCATCTTTGAAATGGTCAACACCTGACAACAAGATTGTTTGTTTGGTCTGTTGTTCAAAGAGTGATAGTTGATATGGGGGATTAAACAAAACAACCAAATTTGAAAGAGTCAGAATTACAGCTATGACTGTATTAAATTCTTATGTGGGGATCATAATTTGATTTCAATTCTAATCTTTATGCAAGTATTTGTTAAGAGTGATTCTTCATGTATTCCCAAATACAGATGGTAAATCTATGCAAATTTGCACGGGCTTATTGAACAATTGAACAACCTATGTCTATCTGGGATAACAGGCGTGAGGCAAACAGTGGGGCCAACTATTATAATCACTTCTCCCCTCACCATATCCTGCCACTTCATGACACAATGTACTGCATTCAAACCCAACCAATGTGTTAACTTAGAAAAAAGCACTATCAGACAAGTTTTGGTATTGTCAAAGTATTGGCTAATATCCAGCAGCGGTTCACTTTATACAACATTTGATCTGCACATTACTGGTACTTTTTAAATTAAAAAATGTGTATGGTTTTACACATTTTACATCAGACTTTTTCAACTGCCAACTCTAAGCTTATGTATTTCAACATCTCTCAAAATAACTAAGTACCTGTAGTAACTGGACTACATTTGGTGATTTGTTGAACATCTCCTGAAGCTGATGGAGTATGATGTTGTGACAATTACTGCAGCCAGAGTTTGGACCAACTGTTCCCAATGATATATGAAACCTCTGGTGGGTGGGATTCCATTGGATAGTTATCTACATGATAACAAGATAGTTTTTAAATAAGTAATCAATTATCATTGCATAATTATTCATATAATTGCAAAAATATAACACAGAGATTTAACTTAGGTTTCTGGTGATCTCATTTAGAAATTTGAAAAAAATGTACACTACATACATATACATGCATTACAGATAGCGTAGAGATGCTGATACTGTATACACTTGTACAAGGTTAACAAAATAAAAATACAAATGAAATGAACTCTGCTTACCGAGCTGCCTTTAGTGGCTCCGTAGCATATGACAAGTTTACGATAATTATAGACGCGTATCTCCGAGAAATGATTAAGGTGGGATGGTATTTCTAGAGGGTGAAATTCAAGGTACATTATTTCTCATTTTACTAAAGCTGTTATTTCATTACTTTTTTTCTTGAAGTTATGTTTACTACCTGGCAAGGAACGTGCAAACTCCAAAACACAGTCATACAGCTTTGCAATGCTATTACAATCGTTTAGGAACGCCTCAACCACTTTCCGACCTCCAACAGGTTCCGATAGTAAGCTTTCATACGTGAGATAGACATGACGTGTTGAACCTGGAGCATGAGAAGATAATAAAATAAATCTGCATTGAAGCTAATGAAAATCACTTTACAAAAGTGCCAAGGAATCACATGTCAGCTTTGACAAGATTTTTGTTTTATGTACTGCACATGTTTATTGAATATACACAATGACCAAAAAGTTGTAATACCATTACAATGTCTAATGAGTCTTAAATTTTTTATTTTTTTTGGTGATAGGCTAGTTTGCCCACAAAAATATGCAGTTAATTCACTTTGCAGTATGTTCTGTGAAGCGCTTTGAGGCACTATATCAAATGCAAGGATTATTTATCATAGTAATCGCAACTTTTTGGTCACCATGTGCAAACACAATTATTCAAACTGGCACAATGATAAACATCAAGAAAATAAATACTAACAGGTATCTGGTACAGATCAAAATTTAAGTGTAGAATATTGGCTAATATCCATCACCTGATGCTCCAAATAATATGATTGCAAAATATGATGACTGCTATTTACTATGGAAAATTACATTTGTCATACGTCAAAGTTAGTTCCTTATATAAAATTAAGCTCAAATTCACATATTTTGCTTTAAAATTCGAGTGACTGCCAAGCTAAATTCTGATGGAGCAGTAGATTTCTATACCCATTTCATCACCGAGCACTGAACACCTTTTAGTTTGAGAAATTTAAGAACATTGTCCACCACTTAAGATTAACATTTGTTGTGCACAAATTAGCCCACAGCTGCATTGGCCCACAAAACAGTCACTACACAGCAAAATCTTGTGAAGTGCTTTGAGACGTCTTCCCAACGTGACAGGCACGATACCAAATCTAAAGATTATTATTATTAAAAATGCAAAAAAAATATTGTCCATCAGACCCATTCTTTTTACTGATAGATTCTTATCACGTTTTAGAGATGTCTCAAAGCACTTCACAGAATATACTGTAAAGTGATTTGACTGTATATTTTGTGGGTGAAAGTGGTAGCCAATTGCACACAGCAGTGTCCCACAAACAACTGTGGATTGAGTGACCACATTTTTTTTCTCGGGATTATTACCCCAATGATGAGTTGTCCTGAGCTCAAGAATTTTTTTTGTCCTTGCTCATTCAACAAAGTTAGCAATAACTTTCTTGCTTTCTTTCATAGAAGTAAAATCTTACATTTTTGCATTGCATACATGAAAGTTAAAGCATTCAAGAACAACTATGGAGTCAGGACTTGAAGTTGATTCAAACTAGCACATCAATGAACAAAAAAAAAATCATGGCACAAAGAGGAAAAAAATGGGAATCAGAAATAAATCACATTGCAGTTAAGTTCACACGTTGCAGTATTATACAGAATAGTAAAGGTGGAATATATCTGCAATCAGGTCACAGTTTTCCTCCTGCCAAAGCCAAGATGTTCAAGATGTGACTGGCTCTCACCTCCTCCAGTTGTTTCTCAGCTAAATTCTCCACTACTTAGATATCAACATAATCATTTGTACATTATGTACAATCGCAGTTCATTTCACAGTTGTAAAGCATCTTGGTATCTTGTGACATGATGTCAACAAGCCACTCTACCACCACTTCGCCCATAAAATATACAGTCAATTCACTTTAACGTATATCCTGTGAAGCATTTTGAGATATCTCGAAGGCGCTAAATCAAATGCAAGGTTTGTTATTATTGTACATTCTTTAAGTAATCTGAATTATCCAATGAGATAAAGCTTTATTAAATATGTTGCGTATATATAAAGATTTCCCAAAGGAAAAAAGGAAAACGCTGGGAAATGTAAATATTTAAAATAACCAACCTTGCTCCTTGGCAGAGGTACTATTTAGAGGGCAGTTGGCAAATACCAGTTCTGCCACCCAGGTCCGGTTGTTTCTTCCCTGCAACCGGAAAGTGCAATCTAACAAAGATCGGTCTAAGGCTTTCTGGGTCTCCTCACTAACACTTGTACACGGAGGGATCCTATAAGGCAAAACAAACTCCTGGTTACGTTTGAGGATCATATGCTGTTGGAGGAGCAAAAGATGCAGGAAAGTAACATTGGCAAAAATTTATTTTATTAAAAAAAATCACAAGATGAACACTAAGTTCCCATTGCAAATTTAAAATCCAGCCACCAGCTTTTCAAACTTTTACTGCATTTAATAAATTGAGATAGCAACAATAGCAAGTTCTTCAATTTGTTCAGAAACTGAAACATATGCTTTGATGTAAGTAAGCTTAGCTCACATTTAAAAAAACACAAGGAACTAACACAATGAATGTAGAATTTTTTTGTCTTCTTCCTTTCCCAATTCATCATCCTCCCCAGTCTCAACTCTTTAAGATAACTACTTTAAATGCCATCTGCCACTTTTCAGCCCAATGTGGAGTAACATTTACCTTAGTATTCGTATGGCATGATTACAGCCATCACCTTCTATCTGAACTCCTTGGTGAGGAATCTCCATGGTACACAGCTAAAAACAACAGATTTGCTCAGTAATTTAAGATTTTTTCAGGACATCTTTTATTCAGAATTGAAGTAATCAATATTACAGTCCCACCAATCAGTGAATAAATCTCACAGGATTTCGTCATACATTAAGACCAGAAATACATGTTGAAATGGAATACTGTCAGCAATATTCCACAAATAAAAAAGTTTTGTACACAACCTAAATAGGTTGTTTTGACCACAGAAGCAATAATTCCCTGAACTCCCTGCTTTGTCGATGATGATATGGAATTTGCATATGGTCAATTTGGATTCTGGTTTTAAAGCAATCCAATACTAGTTTTTTTCTTATTGCTATTGATCTGCTGGATCTATTTCACTAAAATATATGTAGTCATAAAAATTGATTTTATATTTGTAACGCAAACAACTGTTTGCTGAAGCAATGTCTCACCCACACTAGAACATAAAAGCATTTCCTGACAGCTGGAGTAAATTTAGTGTAAGGAAGCTTCACAGCAGGAAATTCTCACAACTGAAACACTGGCAAGATTAAATCCAGGCCTTGCACGGTACCAGATTGTGGACAATCTCATGTGCTCCAAGGAAACTATAGAGAAACTTAGAATGGTGGCAGTTCTGCTCTCGGGAAGAAAACAAAAAAAAATGTACAGGTGTTGTTCCAGAGCACACCCCGATGGCCAATTAAGTAGAAGCTACAACTGACTTCAATTCCCTTTGGCAAAGGGAGAGAGGAAGGGAGGAAAGCAAAATAAACATATGGATAGGGTTCATGCACATGGTTGCTATTTAGCAACATCACCCACCAGAAAAATGTGATCATGGGAGTCAGCATTGCTTCCTAACATTCACTTGTGAAGGTACTCTAGGGCTATCAGCAACAACAAGCCACAGCCTTCAGGAAGTCAGCAGACAGCCCCTCTGGATACATTTAAAATAGCCTTGGCATTGTGACCAAAAGTCACTGTGCAGGGGATATTGAATGTCAAGTATTGATTTTTCTGGTATTTTACTTCCCTCCATGCAAAGATGCAATTAAGCTCTGGTTGACATGGCTAAATTCAGCAGCCTATGTCCCATTACTCTTTATGATTTATGATTTATTCTGCTATTGCTTACACCGCATCACATTTCTATTGCACCACAGCAATGGAAGTGAGGCAGTGGTCTTGTCTATTGTGTCCAGAAATTTGAGCACCAACTGAAAAATCATAATGCAAATGTACCAACTAATTGTAAAACAAGAACAGTTATTATAATACATGTTTATTAGGTTGTTCAAAAAAAGTTCCAAAAACCCTTACCTCACATCGAAGCCCAATGAATGGCATGTTAGTATCGCACATCGCCACAAGGTGTGCTAGGACCTTATTGAAGGCACACATTTCCCCTGTTCGTTTGGGTTTCTTAGGTTCTATAGGTCCTTGGTCACCAGACAGCTGGAAGTTTACACATGCATCAGTGTTACCAGATTTTAAACAAAAACAATAAAAGGTGAATTGCTACATTAAAAAACTTTGAACATTTCTTATGTCAGTTTCAGAGTTCAGAATATTGTTATACCAAAAACTAAGATCTAACAAAACTATCCTGAGCATTATGTAATTAACTGAAATCCTCACTCTTTTATTCCCACCTCTTATAGATAGAAGCAAAGTTGAAATCAGGAAATCTGGTAAGGCTAGGAGAATTGAGCAGAACTACCTCAGTATAACATTTTTAACACAATGCTTTTTTTAAAAAAAACTAAGCTGATTCATTTTTCCAGGAAATATTTTAAAATTTGTGTAGAAGTCAGCCCACATAAACCAAGACAACAGATTGTATTTTCCTTTGTATGCATTTTATAGAGTATTTGGTCAAACATTGAAACCTCAGTCGATGTATTAAAACTTTATATCAAAACAAACTAAAGATTGAATAGTTAAAGTGTACACAGTACAACAGTTAACTGCATTCATTAGGCTGGCAACAGATTTTGCACACATTTTATTCTGTGTCAAACAATATTTTGCAAGGAAGTTAGAAAATGTAAGAATCAGTGACACATGTAAAACAGTAAGAGAATCCTGAATGTCAATGTACATCACCATCTGCCCAGTTACCTTACAATCTGTTCACATATATGCACAGAGAAATATTTTGTGCTTACTTTAACTGAAGTGGAGCTGACCAGAATCGCCAAGAGGGGACAAGCTGGGTAATAGAGAACAGAATATCCTGCATACTTGCATGTTGGCTCACAGTTCTAGGTGGGAGTCTTAATCGACATGAAATTTAGTCTAACTCCCTTCCACTGACAGATGCTTCTGGTTCACATCCCTTACCAATTTGGAATTCATAGCTGCACTATTTATAGTAGTGTGTACAAATCAGATTTGAAGTTTTTGCACACATTATTCTTGGACATCACACAGCACTGCAATGTAGTTTTATTTGTTTTTGTATACAAAAACTCAAGTGAAATGAAATAGAGAACAGGTTATATTTCTTCGCCGACTCAAAGTAGGTAAGAGGGAAAAAAATGATATTTACACATTTTAAATGTAGTGAATTTTAAGGTGAATTTACATTTAAGGTTGAAAAAAACCCAAACCTTGCGCTTATCTCCGGTCTTGGCTTGTTTCCCATTCATTTTGTCCAGTACAAGCTCCTCAATGTTTGATTTGAATTGTTGGAAAAGCAATGCAGTAGGAGGGCAATCGTCAGCATCAGTCAGCCCCTGACTCACAGAGAGGAAATAGTATTTATATCCTAGTTCGGTGGGGAAGCCAGGCCTGTTCATCATTTCCACAACCTGCAAGCACAACGTGAAACTCATGAATATATTTTAAGTACTACAGAAATGATGCTTAGTCAATCGCTCAGAGAAATGTTAATTTTAACTAAATGATCATTTTTATTGTTAATAATATTTTTCTTAGCCTAACTGTTAAGAGACAAGAGTGAAGGTTGTTCACCCTTACACACCTCCAAACAGACAATAAAGAGCAACACTGGTAAGAGACAGGCATTCTTAGGCCACCTTCCTGCCCTCTTGGACTGGAAATAGTGTGCGTCACAGAATGAGCTGGAAGAGATGGATTGAAAAAAGCTCTGCTGTAAACTAAATTTCGATTACTAGTTACAAGAATGTGAAACGAGTCCAAGTTAATGTTTACCATAATTGAAGAACAAATCTCTATTCGGGCATCTTACTGTACTTACAATGTAATATTGTGGAAGTCGAGTCAGCTTGATGAAAAGTTTGTGCTTTGAGAGATTCCCAACTTGGTGAGTGGAGAGGTTCGAAAGATGCAACGTCTCACTGCATACTGTGGGCAGGTGTTTCACAGATTGTTTGCATCGCTGTTGTCCAAGCCAGAACCTGGAAGAAAGCATTTTCCAAGGTTAAATTGAACAAATAACATTATCCTAAGGTAAGGTAAATGTGAGGAAAAGGCCTTGCGACTTCATTTTGTGAATTGATTCCTGATTTCCTGCCCTTTTACCCCAAGCCACTTTCCTACAGGAGGAGAAAATGGAAAGCTATGACAAGGCCTTCAGTGTTACTCAACAACTGACTGCAAGGAGATGCACAAAAACAACTAGAATGACTCGCTTTGAATCTCCTTGCTTTCAGAAGTGCCTGAAACGTCCATCCTATCAATCTTGGGACTTCAACATAATATACCATGCCACTCCACTTCGCACATAAACCTAAAAAGTGCCCAAGACTGCAACTTCTTTCATAAAAGTAAAACAATTAGCCAGCCATTCTGACACAGCTCCTCCAATGAGCCAAATTAATGTCCAACTTACCGCACGTTGCCAAGTTTAAAATCACTACAAATTCTGCCACATTGTATTAAATGCACAATCCAAAGAAGTTTGCTATAAGTGTTTTTAATGCACTGAATTCAATACTTGAGGCATCAATTTATATGCTAGGATTAGCTAAGACAAGAATCCAAAACTGAGGCTTCACGGCTCTCTAGTTGGGCCAAGTTCATACATTTCACTTCAAAAGATAAATCAAGTCATTGGACAACATTTTGGTTCCTCACTGACAACTGAAAAATTACAAACTGTTTAGTTATTCAGGTCTTATTTTCGGCTACAAACAAATTTTAGCCCTACTGACTTGTGCTTCCTTTTCATACTTACTTCAGCTGCTGAAGCCAAGGAATAATTCTCTTCATCTCATCATTGATAGACTTTTCAATATCATCCAATGTAGTCTGATCTAAGTTAAGCGAAGGGAGATGATATGCAGTAAGTCAATAGATCATTAAAAAACAGAGAGAAAATAGGAAAACAAATATTTAGGCAACTTAAAATATAGTAATCATTTTTCTTCAGGCCTTTATAAACTGGTTAGTGTACGCACTTATTTCAATATATGAATAACCCAAGTAAAATCTGCAGAAATACATGCACAGAGGTAATAACAAAACCTGCAAGAAGGTATGAACAAACTGGAATTGATGGCATGTGGCATCTTCCTTTCCTGGTCTTGCTGGGATATTTACACAGGCACTATCCACTACCTCACTCTGAAGGCTGTTCTTTAGGTGTGAACCCAGTTGGTGAATGTTGGCAGAATATTTCACTAGATGAGGTATCACAGCCGAACTCATACAGTCTTTACCCATCAAGTGCACACATCCATTTTCCAGTATACTCAACACAGGTCGGGGATGGAAGTGATATCAACGGCTGTTTCACAGGGAGTATCTAGACTGCACTGGCTGCCTGTCCCAGAGAGGATCGACTTCAAGATCCTCACCCTTGTATTCAAATCCCTCCAGTCCTCTGCACCCCCCCTACCTCTCTGACCTCCTCTCTCCTCAAAACAGTACCCATTGCCTTCGTTCCTCCGGGTCTGGCCTCCTCCTCGTCCTGAGTCCTCCGCTCCACCTTCAGCGGCCGTGCCTTCAGCCACTATGGCCCGAGGCTCTGGAACTCCCTTCGCCTCGCTCCCTTTCTATTTTCAGGTCTCTGCTGAAGACTTTTCTCTTCGACCGCGCCTTTGGTCACCTTCCTCCCCATCCCCCTAGCTCAGCGCCAGGATCCGTTACTGTAAAGCACTCTGAGTCGCAGTCCGGCGTGGAGGGCGCTATATAAATCCAAGCTGTTGTCGTCGCAATGAATTTACCAGTTAGAGCTTCAGACCTTACTCACTAGAGGGTATCCAGCACAGCTTCACTTGGTTAATATCTGGGTTGAAGGGCTTAGCTACAAGAGTCTGAGGTTATATTCCTTGGAGGACGTTACGTTAAAGGGCGATTCAGCTAAGGTATTTAAAATTAAGGAAATGACAGATCAGAGACTGGAAACTCTTCCCTCTAGTAGACAGATCCATTATAAGAGAGCATTGCCTATTCCTATTGTATTCAAGTTCATAATCGCCTCAACTACACAGAATTTTATGCTTACCAATTCCATACAACATTGGCTGGAACATTCCTGAATGCAGATCCACGAAAACGTGAAGACATTCAGACCGACCACAGGGTTCCAAGATAGGAATAACCAAGGTAGGCAGAGCGGTTTCTATGAAGGCTGTTTGTTCAAAAAAAACATTAGATTAAATACAGTTTGTAAGCGAGGATTTTTTTTTCTTTGTTATATTTGCACATGAAAATGAAGCTAAAGAAATTATATTTCAGAACAATACTTAAAACAGTGAGAGACCACAAGTTAATGTCTGCCAAATGTCTATTCTTTTACCATAAACAACTATCCAAGAGATCTTTACTGCCTACCCCCCATCCCGACACACACACCTGAAAATGAACTGAAACTCAGTTATCAGAGAAGTTGGACGATTGAATTGAATTGAATTCTCTGCTCTTTAGTACATTAGTTCAGCCCAGATGTAAAATGTCACTGCACACAAGATAATAATAAATATAATAATCCTTGTATTTGATATAGTGCCTTATCACATCTTCGACGCGTATATATTATATATAGTAACAGTTGTGAAAACAATAGTACAGGAAGCACTTTAGGCTAACCTATAAATGTTTTTTTTCTGGTGAAAACATCAAATATTAGATAAAACAAGAAAAGTATTTCTATCGAGATTCAAATCACTTGGAACATACCATTGTCATTGGGGTTGTAGCTCTTGAGAATGGCTTTCAGTTCCTGCAGTTTCTGATGAGAACGTGCATGGACGCTGTCTATCAACAGCTTCTCCACAGAGAGGTGATCGATCTGTAGAACAATCACAATTAAGAGAAAACAAACATTTTGTTTCAGCAACAGTTGATACAATTGGAAGCGACTTGCCTGCTTAAAACAATAACAAAAAAAATCTTACCTTCATAGCACGTTCTATTAACTTAGAATCACAAGCTGGTAATGGTGGATCATGAGATATTTGTAAGGGTTTTGAGCAGTCACTTTCATCAATCTTTATGTTGACCTTGTGAGCAGAGGCACTGCCTGTCTTTCTTCCCACAACTTGTTGACTAAAATATAAAACAACCACATTGAATAGCACAAAAGTGAAGTTTTTGTCTGTATAGAGCAGGACCCTGTGCTAACATGCTTCATTCTAAAATGGGCTCACTGATGTTGGAGTGAACCCCAACATTTACTTTCCAAAAAATTCAAGCATAGAGGAAGCTAAATGGCATTTTGAAGTGAGCCTGCCCGTTTTCCGCGTGCAAACAAAATCTGACAATGGATCACCAGGTCGCTGCCAACATCATTTACATCAGCGACATCCGAATGATCATGAATCAGTCATTCTTCGCTTGTTGCACATATGTGATGTCTACAGTAACCTAATGACCCAGAGTTTGCCATTCTTTTCAGGCATGTAAAAAGCCAGCTGGTGTTTTGAAACGAGCTGGATTTATGCTCGCATGCACATGGAGTGTTGACCAGGGATTGCACCACATTATTGCACTGATCAGTGGTCACATCCCAATGATAGCACTGGTTGAAAATTTATGGGCCCTAATTACCTTGTTACAACGGGGCTCCACTGTACTCCTATGCAAGAAATTAATGGCATATTAAATTCAAAATCTAAAATCAGTTGACATGTAGCTTCTGACAACAGACGTACCGTTGCAAGTTAATGGAAAGTTTTCATTAAATAGACTGTATTTTCTGAGTTTAACTCATTGTTAAGGCTTACACTGAAATGAGCAGTGCCATAATCTACCAATGGAGAACTGCAATGTATGCAACAAGCAGTTCTAATGAATAATCATAATTTTTTGAAAATAATAAAAGGTTCAGGGGCCAAAGGCATCATACCTGGAGGTTAATTAAAATGGACGCACAAACTGTACTATAAGCAATATAAGGAGAGGCTGCTAAAACACTAGGCAAGTTACTCAGCCACCAAAGTGAGCTTCCCTGATGGCCAATTAGGTAAAGGCAGTATCACCTGATGCAGCACGCTGGCACACAGAGAATCTTGCTATTAGCTTTCAGGCAAGTATTTGAGATGCTACAATTGGTTCAGTGTCCCTGAGGGGTGCAGAGACAATCAGCCAGGTTCCCCGTTCCTGATCATTATCCGAGACTCACAATATCACAAGAAAGGTTCAGGTGAAGAAGTGCCTTAGGGCCTTTTGATCTCATCTTTCCAAAATATCCACCCCATTGTCCTCCCAATCGCAGTATCAAGATGCTTTTAAAACAAATCCTGGCCTCAATCAACCTTCCCGGTAACCTGTTCCAGTTGTTAGTTATTCTCTGGGTAAGAACAAATACTTCCTGGTGTCTATCTTGACTCCTGCTGGAAGGTCTGTGAAGAATATCAGGATGGAGTTTGGCTGCAATACTAACATTGTCAAAGCTTACATTGAATGATGGCTATGTGAACAAGGTATCAAATGATGACTGGCAGCTGGGAAACAACCCCACTGATGTTACATCCCACCTACATTATATATCAACATCTGTTAACATGTTACTCACTTCCAAACCACCAAGGTCAGGCATTTTCCAGGTAGATACCGCTCAACCTGAACAAGGTCACCCCATCGTTCACGTATGAGCATCTGTGCCTGCGAGTGTAATACTTCTAACTGGAGCGACAGACAGAACGAGTCTAGATGGAAAAGTTAAGGAAGACTAAAAGAAAAAAGTAACATTCAAAACAAGTCTGGTTACCACGTCAGAATGAGCAAAATAAAGAAACAAAATGTTTCAGATCATTTATCAGATATAAAAATGCTGATATTATTATTAGTGATTAAGAAGTGCAATATCGGAATCCCATTCCCAAGATTACCTCTGAAGTAAATGTTAATTTCCTTTGAAGAAATGCAAGATTACCTTTGAAGGAAATCTTGCAACACAAATTTGTTTAGACTTGGCCTTGAAGTTCATTTCAGAGTAGACAAACATTTGTAGACAACAATTATTATTCAATTAATATTGTTGGTGTGTAATGGAACATTGCTGCTGACCTTGACTAGCATTTAGTCTAAGGTAACATTCCAGGTGCAATTCTGGGGTATGCATTGTTGGAGGTGCTATCCTTCGGAGGAGACATTAAACAGAGGTCCCACCTGCCTGTTTGGGTGGACTTTACAGACCCGCTGCACTATTTGAAAAGAGAAGGGAGCATCTCACAGTGTCCTCGCCAACAATCTCCCAAATAAAATTGGTCACTCACTCCATGGCTGTTTATGAGACGATGCTGTGTGAAAACTGGCTGCTATGTTTCGACCACAAATTCAGTTAAATCCACTTTACAGTATTTGCTGTGATACTCTTTTAAGTTAAACCAAGGTCCCATCTGCCCATTCAGGAGGACATTAAAGATCCTTTGGCACTATTCAAAAAGAGAAGGGAGTTTCTCGCGGTTTCCTGGCCAATAATCTTTGTTCATTCACAACCTGGCTGCTTGTGGGACATTGCTGTGATGTGTAGAAATTGGCTACTGCGTTTGCCTTTAAAAAATCGTCACGATACTTTTAACCATTCTCCTGACATCAAAAGCTGTATGTCAAATGCAAGGATTATTATTATAATTAAACCAAAATAAATCAATAAATTCCTTCAGTTGATTTACAAATTGGGCCAAGAAAAACCTGCACTTCTTGGTTGACACGTTAAAATATGCTGTTCTTCAGTTTGAAACAAGATAGAACATGCAACCATTTTATTACTCTTGCAAATATATGTGTTTACTTAATGTAGATTAAAATGTTAATGGTAATTACTTTGTACAACTTAATTATAGGTTCAAAATTCAGTAAGCAGCAGATGTTTATAATCAGTACTTTACTGAACTTTGCTAAAAATATATTCCACACAATATATTAAAGCTTTAAGACAGAGGTTGGAGGATACGCAAACAGTTGTACATGTCTTGCAGTGGTTTCTCATCAGCAAAGAGTCTGGACTGTACCAGACGGTGAATGAAGTGGATCTGTATACTGTGGACCAGAGCACGACCATCTGCAATGCAAACACCCAGATCAATGCAATTTTAAAGACTTTAAATTCTAACTGATGAAGAGATGTCAGAGTCAACAGTTAAATCTGTCTGAAATTTACAGTGGCAACCCAACATAATCAGTTAATTGATTAAAAGATTAAGGATTACTGAGGAAAATGGGAGCAACAGGCAGGCTCCCATCAGCACCTTCTCACTTCAGATATAAACCACATTGATCTGCATGGATGCACACTGCTTTTCATGTAGTAGTACAAAACCTTGGTGATCTGTTCACCTCCCAACTATCCTCTAAGTTCTACATCATTCTCTCACCTCCCTACATCACCCACCTCTACCACTATGTCGCCCCCTGAACTGCTGAGACACTCATTCACTTATTTACCACCTCTAGACTGGATTATCTGAATGTCTTGCTTGTCAGACTTCCCAGCTCTTCCCTACACAAGCTGCAGACCGTCCTGAATTCTCGCGTCCACACAAGACCCTGTAAACCTATCAACAACAACAACTTGCACTTATATAGCGCGCTCCATGCAGGGTAGAGCATCAGAGCGCTTAACAGTGGCGGAGCCTGACTCCAAGCCAGAGGTGGCTGTAAGTACAGTCGATCACCCCCATCCTCTTTTAGCTCCACTATCTCCCAACCCTACAGCAGATTTGAACTCAAGATTCCTGTCTTCGTGTTCAAATCCCTCTACGGCCTCCCCAACTCTACCTCTGAAATCCCACCGCCAACTGCTCAGCAAATATCCATATACCTAAATTAGATTATACCAATTTGGAACACACTTTACCTCCCGTTTCCTTGTCTTCCACTAGAATTTCTAGTTTGAGCAATCGCCATGGGATTTCTGGATCGTCCCCCATCACTGTGAGTGTGGCTTCAAATTCCCCTTCAACACGGAATTTCACACGTCCATTGGCTTTATAAAAAGGGCAGAATTTTTCAGTCAGAGTTTAGCATTTACACTGCTCAACACAATGCAAATTGGCCTTTCATTGGAGACTCAAAGATTTCTTTAAATGAAAGTTTCCAATTGAAAAACATTTCTAAATTTGTGTAAGATCAATTACTGGAAAATGTTTGAAAACTTAAAATCAGTGATGTCTATGGAGAAAGTTAAACTAACATTTTGCCACTGTGAAGCCTTCGTAAATCATGGAATTTACATGCATAAATTGTAGTCCATACACACAATCCACTTGCTTCAACTCCCATCTCATATGATTGACATGTTGCAATGTGGGCCCAATGGAGGAAATTACAATGATGCTCTGCCTGTTCTCCCTCACAAGAGGAACTCTGTTTATTATCTCACTGACAGTCCCCATTAGCAGACATCTAATATTGTGGTAGCTTTAACACCAGGCGGATACTTGTAAATGCAACACCATTATGTGCTGGACCAAGCGTAGCACACAAAAAAAAACCAAAAAAAAATTATTGGTTCTTTATAGTATAACCTTGTGGTTAATAAAATGAAGATTCTTACCAACTGTAAGGTTTGCCAGTTGTGGAGGCAGGTCTGTGGTAACCAATCGATGTCTCAGAATCTGATTGAGCTGATGAAGCGTGGCCAGTTTCTCATTCTTGGTTATCGGGTTTGGAGGAATGATTTTATCCTGTTGGCAATAAAAACACAAGAAACTGAATTTATGTTTTAATTAGAAACTCATTGTAGCATGCAAAACCTATAAGAAATAAGTTCAATGAAATGTAAAAGGCATTAGTTTTGAATACTTTGAAAATAAAAAGTATTTTCATAACATAACATTTCAAAACATAACTAAACCATTTAAAATAAAAAGCAATGATCTTTATCAAGGTCAGTTTCTCTGGGTAGACAATGTTGTGCATCCAGTTATAGGAAAGATATAAAACCAATAGGGATGAATCAATAGGAATATTTATTTGAAAAATAGACAAATACAGTTCTTGGGCAGTAGAGGTATAAAGGGATATAGCAAAAGGGCAGGCAAAAGGATTAAAAGTCCAATAAAATGGTGAACTTGCTTGATTGGCTAAATGACCTCTTACTGTGTGATTTTTCTATGTTTCGAAAAAAGGATATGAAATCAGATGTATTAAATATAAAATAACTCCCGTTTTGATGAGTTCAGAGAAAAGCTTACCCGAATGCAACTCGGTAAGCGAGGGTACGAGCCTGTAGTTAGAACATCAATGGCAAATGGAATCGCAAAGCTTGGCAGGCGCGCATGAACCAATGCATCTCTTGCTAACGATGCCATTCGATCAGCGGTGTCCACAAAGAGAAATGCCTGCTGATCCAGGAAATTCGATATCATCTGTAACAAAAATACGGAAAGACAATCAATGGCAATGCATTTAATACCAATAAAATGTGCAACAAGTGTACTTTATTGTAACAGGGCAAGTTATAAGGGTGAAATGAAGAACCTAACCGCTACAAACATGAACTGAATGCTTTCAGGAGAATTGTGAAGAAGTGGTGAAAAACAAATCTCACCTTGAGCTAACATTTTCACCTGACTTGGATGAATATGAAAGTTAAATTGTACACAAAATGGAAGGGCATGCTTCCTTTGGAGACTTTCAATGAGTGAAAATAAATAAGTTTCCCCAACATTCCCAAAGATGAACCCTTCAACTCAGCCAAAACTGTGAAAACAGTTGTTTTATCAGGGGGAATAAATATGAATAGGATATGTATAAAACATATTCATTTTACATATAATACACACATGTTACAGTATAATTTTTTTACATAACTGAAAAAATTACAATACTTTCAGACTGAAAATAACTATTCAATTACCTTGGTGTAAAACTTATTTTATATTATCAGAGCAGATAAATTGATAATAGTCCACAAATTGTTTGAGTTAATAAATCTCAAAATAATTCCAATACAGAATAGGAGACAGGAATAGTTCCTGGAACTGGGAAATGACACACAAGTACTGTAGTAGGAACTTGAACTTTTTACAAAAATTATAAATTAATATTAGATTCTTGGCCTCTGCAATAACTCGTGTTGAGTTTCCATTTTGTATTCTTACCTTCCTTTTCCACAGAAAGGTAAAGAGAGAGACCAGAAGCTTCCTACAGATTAATAAAATGTAGAGAAACAGTCACCCAGGTTTCAATTGTCCATCTCCACATGGCAAATTATAATGAGGAATTAGCAGAAACCTTGGAACAACTATCCTGCTCATTTCTTAAGACAGGGATGTTACCTGCCACAGAGAATTTTTTTAATAATGCAGGTTTCATCTCTCTTACCGCACATTTTTCCACCTTTCCTGCATTACTGGCCCATTTTACCAATGCCAGCAGACGCACAAAGAGTTGACGTGTCCGACTAGCAAACTGCACAATTTCAATTTTCCTGTGGAGAGAAGCAAATGAAAGTTATTTTCTTGTTGCACCAATATAATGATCTTTTTGTTTAACTCATTGTACAAAATTAACATTAATTAATTAATCAAAATTAAGGCATCACCATCTAATTTCCCATCCTATTTTTTCCCTATTGCATCTCACCAGACCATTCATGCTTCTACTAAGACGTTGGACAAATAGACATGGCGCCATGTCTCCACTATAGCTCGAGACAAGCAATAGTGTCTGGTATGGATTCTCTTGCTGTGCTTGTCAACAGATATCTGATCTCTGTCTCCCAGAGTAGTACACCTAAGCTTGGGAAATTAGCTGAGAGGGAGACCAATCTGGCACTGTATCATTCGGCAGTACTGCACACTGGGGCTCCTAAAGAACTGCACCACCACATTGTCCCAGCAATGCCAAAAAATAACATTCAGGAATTTTTAAAGACAGATTAATGAATCAAGAGATTGGTAAACAAATACATTCAGTACTAACTTCATATTAATTGAAATAAAATATGTAAATTAGAATACAATCAGATCTCCATATTAAGGAGTTTTTAGTCCATTTGAGCTCATTTATTCAGACTACAATTATCTCTACATCTTCCCAGTACAGCAATAAGCAGTCTCCAAAATAAGTCCAGAATCCTGGCCCCAATCATCATTCCTGTTCCAGCCATCAATTACATTTTGTGGAAGCAAATTTTTACTAGTGTCTGTCCTAAAATGTCCTGCACCAGGTACCCTTTCCAATCATTGTTCCCTCTTATCAGACACTTTCAACTATCAGCTAGATCAAGGAACAACATTGATACGTTTTTGGAGATGGATGTGAGCTGCACTGTCCCATCTATCAATTAATAATAAGAGGTCAAGAGACAAATAGAGTCTCAAAGAGAAATAATTGGAAACCTCACTGTTGTACACAGAAAATATCCGTTTCATAAAATTGAATGCACTCCCATGAAAATAGACTTTTGGATCCAGAAAAATAAATCTGAAGTGGGATTTGGAACCCTAAAAACATATTTGAATATAAGTTTACATACATCATCTATATATTGCATGTTAAGTAACTCCAAAATGTCACAGCTGTATTGCACCCATGCAATACATTAGCCATTGTCCACTTGTCCAACGCACAACTTCTTGGGAACTTAATTTTAACAAGCGTTGTCAGTTTGGCAAATAACCATAAATTGATCAGCAATGGTGCAAGATCATTCAAGCAGACAGAATTTCTAAATCTCTGAATCCCACTTCAGAGTAGAGAATAAAAACATAATTTTTTTTCTATTTCTCCCTCCCTCCTAATTATTCTGAATGACAACATTTTAATAAATATCCAGTGTGCCTGACAATATCATTACTGAGTGCTCTCTAAGCTCTCGCGAAACACTGCAAAATGGAAAACTACAATAAGTTGCTGTACCGGGCAAGTAGACTAGTGTGTAATGTGTTACACATATAGTTATCATTAAGTTCTCAATTGCCTTTTTTTAAAATCTCTAAAACCATGCAACACAAGTGGGGAAAAAAAGCAAAGTGGGAGAAGGAAAGGAAAATCACATACCGTTCCATATCAGTCTTTCTGGGCAACCTGTAAAACAAAAATAAAATAACTTACTTCCCAATAAATTCAATGATGAATAGTAAAATCTGCAACAATATGTGGTTTTGAACATAAAAACTGTACCTCATTATTATGGACCAAGTGTATAATAAGAGCAGTCTCCAAACTAAGCATATCAATGTGTTGGTAGCTCATCAACCAAAGTTAAGGTAAAACAAATCCATATTATTTTAAAAAAATAAGACCATAAGACGTAGGAGCAGGAGTAGGCCATTCGGCCCCTCGAGCCTTCCCTGCCATTTAATAAGATCATGGCTGATCTTCTAACCTAATTCCATTTACCGCCCTATCCCCATATCCCTTAATCCCTCTATCCTATAGAAATCTATCAACCTCAGTCTTGAATATGTTCAAGGACTGAACATCTACAGCCTTCTGGGGTAGAGAATTCTACAAATTCACTGCCCTCTGAGTGAAGAAATGTTTCAACTCAGTTCAAAAAGGCTGATCCTCAATCTTGAGACTATGACTCCTAGTTTTATATTCTCCAACCAGGGGAAACAGTCTCACAGCATCTACCCTGTCAAGACCCTTAAGAATCTTATAGGTTTCTATAATATCACTTTTAATTCTTCTATATTCTAGAGAATATAGGCCTAGTTTACTCAACCTATCCTCATATGTCAACCCCCTCATCCCAGGAACCAACCTACGCTGCACCTCCTCTAAGGTGAGTATGTCCTTTCTTAAAAGGAGACCAAAACTGCACACAATATTCTAGGTGCAGTCTAACCAAGGCCTTATACAACTGCAGCAAGACTTCCCTACTCTTGTACTCTAACCCTTTTGCAACAAACGTCAACATGGCATTAGCCTTCCTAGTTGCTTGCTGTACCTGCATACTAACTTATTGTGACTGGTGTAGAAGGAAACCCAAATCCCTCTGAACACTAACACTACCTAGTCTCTCCCCCTCTAGAAAATAATCCGCTTTTCTATTTTTACTACCTAGGTGAATAACTTCACACTTCCCCACGTTATACTCCATCTGCCACCTTCTTGCCCACTCACTTAGCCTATCTATTTCCCTTTGCATTCTCCGTGTGTCATCCTCACAGCTTACTCTCCCACCTATCTCCGTATCGTCCGCGAATTTAGATATGTTAAGTTCTATTTCCTCATCTAAATCATTGATATAGACTGTAAATAATTGAGGCCCAAGCACTGATCCTTGTGGCACTCCACTAGTCACATCTTGTCAATCTGAGAAGGACCCATTTATCCCTACTCTCTGTTTTCTTCCTGTTAACCAGTCTCCAATCCATACTAATATTACCTTTAATTCCATGGGCTCTAATCTTATGCAACAGCCTTTTAAGTGGCACCTTGTTGAATACCTTCTGGAAATCCAAATACACCACATCTACTGGTTCCCCCCTATCTAACCTGCTAGTTACATCCTCAAAAAACACTATAAGATTTGTTAAACATGATTTCCCTTTCGTTTTTGGAGATGGATGTGAGCTGCACTGTCCCATCTATCTTTCGTAAAGCAATGTTGACTCTGCCTAATCATGTTGTGATTTTCTAAGTACCCCACGACAACTTCCCTACCACTGATATCAGACTAACTTTAACATTGGCTTTACGTTTGCAACCTTCCAATCACTGGGAACCATTCCAGAATCCAGGGAATTTTAAAAGACCAAAAACAAAGCATCCACTATCTCTGCAGCTATCTCTTTTAAAACCCTAGGATGCAGGCCATCGGGTCCAGGGGATTTATCGGTTTTTAATCCTATCAATTACTCTAGTACTATTGCTTTACTGATGTTCATTGTGTTAAGTTCCTCACTAACATTAGCCTCCAGGTTCCCCTCTATTTTCGGTAAGTTTTCAGTGTCCTCTAACGTGAAGACAGAAGCAAAATATTTTTTAATGGCTCTGCCACTTCTTTATTCCCCATTATAATTTCTCCAGTCTCTGCCTGCAATGGACCCACATCTCTTCCTCTTTATGTACTTGTAAAAACTCTTACAATCTGTCTTTATGTTCCTAGCTAGTTCACCCTTGTATTCCATTTTCTCCCTCTTAATCAGTTTCTTGGTTTTCCTTTGCTGTTCTTTAAAGCCCTCCCAATCCTCACGTTTACTGCTCTTTTTGGCAGTATTATAGGCCTCTTCTTTTAATTTTATACTTTCCCTAACTTCTCTAGTTAGCCAAGGTTGAACCACATTTCTTGTGGTATTTTTATTTATTTTTCAAGGGAATATGTGATCACTGGGAATTATCTATATCTTTAAACATTTGCCATTTCTGGTCTACCGTCATATTTTTAAATCTAATTTCCCAGTCTATTTTAGCCAAATCTTCTCTCGTACCTGCAAAGTTGGCTTTATTTAAATTTAAGACTCTTGCTTTGGATTCAATCAATTATGTCACTCTCTAACTTAATGTTAAATTCCATCATGTTATGGTCACTCTGCCCTAGAGGAGCCTTAACTTCCAGATTAGCCCTACTTCATTACACAAATGGAATTCATTACCCCAAAAAGCTGTAGATGCTCAGTCTTTGGACATTTTCAAGGCTGAGACTGATAGATTTTTAAAAAAAATAGAGGGATTAGGGGATATGGGGATAGGGCAGGTAATTAGAGTTAGGTCTGAAGATCAGCCATGATCTTATGGAATGGCGGGACAGGCTCGAGGGGCCGAATGGCCTACTCCTAATTCTTATGTTCTTAAACCAAGATCTAGGATAGCCTGTTCCCTGGTTGGTTCCTCGGCATACTGTTCTAGAAAACTATCTCTAATGCATTCTATAAACTCATCCTCCAATTTACTTTTGCCAATTTGGTTTTCCCAGTCCATATGAAGATTGAAATCACCCACTATTAGTATATTACCCTTGCTACATGCTCCTCTAATTTCCTGATTAATACCCTGCCCAATACTGTAAATGCAGTTTGGGGGTCTATAAACTACTCCCACTCGTGTTTTCTGCCCCTTGTTGTTTCTTACCTCCACCCATACTAACTCTACATCCTGATTTTCTGATTTAAAATCCTTCCTCTCTACTGTTCTTATCTCATCCTTTACTAGCAGTGCTACTCCCCTCCCCCCATCTCGTTTTCCACATTGCCTATCTTTCCTATATGTCGAATAGCCCGGAATGTTCAGCTCCCACCCTTGGTCTCCCTATAACCACGTCTCAGTAATAGGTCTAATAAATCCATCAGTATATTCCTCTCTTCTACAATAAGTAGCCAGAAGTAGCTAGTAAATCTTCACAATCTGTATCTGAGATGTATTTCATACAAGATTCTAGATCAAATCAAGGTAAAAAAAATTATGCTAGTTAACAATGGAGAAACTGATTTGTGAGAACATCTAAATCTGTGATATGCCAATACTATCTTTACCATGTTGTCAATTTCCAAAACAATGAGGATTCAAGACCCACCTTAATTTAATTTCTTCCCTCCCGAGCTGAAAAAACAAGCAAGCAACTACATATAATACCACCTACAACAACAATATGTATTCATATAGCGCCCCTCACACAGGGTAGCATTCCAGAGCACTTAAACCTGTCTGTTTGCATCTCAGAGAGGAAATAAACTAAATTTACCATGAAGCAAATGAAAGAACAGTGAAGTTTAAGGTGACAATCATTGAACAAAACAGTACAACTTTATTTGACATAAATGGAGAATTTGATGGATAACTGAAATCGGAAAATGATCAAGAATCCCCAAATCAACATCAATTTCAAACAGAGCCTTACCATTGGGTTCTCCAGATCAAAGCAAATTACTGTAATTTGTTTTGAAGAACAAAAGGTAGCATTAGACCAGAGTATCTGAATTGCGAGTTGCTGAAAGAAACTGCTCCTGCGTAACACAAACTATAAGATGTGTTTCATTGACATGTGAAATGGTGAGTCCCTAACAGAACAATGCAAGATGCCAGGACAGCTAAGAAGATCAGAGACTGATCCACAGTTGAATTCATCACATGCCTATTCAATTTTGAGTTTAGAAAAGTCCTATCATGATCTATGTTTGGACTACATTACTTGGCTCTTTCCAGTTACAGTTCCAAGTGTGCTCATCCATTTAAAAGCTGACAGTTAGGTACATCCCATTCAAATGCAATTAGTCATATTCCATGCTACTTTTAGCATTAAATCAAATCCCAGATGTCATGTCTTACAAAGCCAATATGTTAAAGCAACTGCAACGATAGGCTTGGAGCAACAATCACAGTAAATTTTAAGGATTTCCCCACCCATCCCACCCAATTACTTTCCCCTCCTCTCAATGCCTGAAAACACTGAGTCATGTTGGGCATGTTTCCACAGGCTCCAGTCAAATAACCCACGTCTAACACAAGCGCATATTCTTCATGTGTGACACTCACTTTTTTCATTTATAATTTATTTTATCCTCAATGATTCAGTTTTTTGAAATAATAATTACACAATACTGTTGATACTCCACACATGAAGCAGTTAATAATATTAATCCATGCATTTGATATCATGCCTTTTGCGCTTCATAGGATTTACTGCACAGTGTAGCGACTGTACACTTTGTAGGCAAACACAGCAGCCAATTTTGCCCATCGCAATGTTCCACAAACTGCCACAAAATGAACAACCAATTTTATCTCAGGATTTTTGGTCACAGCCGCGGAAGAAACTCCCTCATCTAACTTGCTGGTTTAACATTTCATCCAAGGATGGCACCTCCAACAACCCAGCACTCCTGGCACTGTACTGGTTTGTCAGTCCCAGTGGGGCTTGAAGACATGGGTTAACTGACTTAGAGGCAAGAGTGAACCAGGCTGACCCTGGTTAGCAACTGGAAGCTGAACCTCTGGCTGACACTTTGTTTTCCTATCATAGACCAGAGATCAAATCTGAAACTTTACTCAGCAATACAACTCAGAAACATTTATCCACTCCATCAGTGGGAATATTTGTAAATGTAAATGTTCATAACAAAACAGAAGAATTGGTTTGG